GCTCCAGGTGTTCGCATGGTTCTCCCCATCACGCCCCCATCACGCCCCATCTGCCCTGTGAGGACCTGGCGGGTGTGTCCAGAATTGTCCTGACCTCTGCCAGCCTTCACTCGCCACCCCCCCTTTTTTTAATGAAAAGAAGGGCGACCGAGGTGAGTGATGGTGCGGAACGCCCCGTGGGGGTACGTCAACGAAGCGTGCGTGGATGTGCACATCTGAACTCGTGCGCGTGCTCCAGCCTTTCACCGTGTGCTCTTGGCACTCGGCACGTCCGCGGTGACATCGTGAGCTCACGGAGGAAACACTGCCTGTTTCCTTTATGGCTGGGGTCACAGCCTGGGGCTGCCGTCAGCCTTGGAGACGGTCTGTGCGGCAGTTGATGTGACCCCGAGGACAGAGCGCCAAGTTGGAATTCAGGACCCTAGTCACTAGTCACCCCCCCCCAACTCCGTGGATGAACTTGGACCAGTTTGGGGCTTTCCAGGCCTCGGTTGCTTGATCTGTGCAGTGAAGGGGTTGGACTGGGAGTGGGCCCTGGGCGCATCCTGTCCCCTCTGCCTGCCCTCTGGCTAACCTTGGGCAGGTGGCGTCATCTCCCCGAGCAAATGGGAAGAACCAGGTGTACTGTGAGTTGTTCTGAAGACTTACCGATACGATGAATGTCAGGCGCTTGGCCCGCAGCTGGTGACCTGTCCGTAGTCTGACACCGAGACCACTGGAGACGCCGTCGTAGAGAAGGAGCATTGAGAGGCGCAGACCAGTGTCTCTCCTGTGAAGATCCGTCCCGCCACGCAGATCTGTCTTTAGAGAAATGCAAGGCGGCGGACACAGGACGTGCTGTTCTCCATCACTGCACAAGAGGCACAGACGAGGACCCCTTCCCAGTGCCCGGCGTGGCCTCGGAAACGGGCTCCGCACTGATGCCGCCTTGGGGACAGTGTGCCACGAGGACGATCCGCCAGGAGGACACGTACTCTGAGTCCACCCTGAGGCCCGGAGAGAGTCGATTTGTAGAGACAAGAGGGAGGGCCCAGGTGATGGGCGCTGGGCAGGTGGGAGGCGGGGGGGGGGGGGGGACACTTGTTCCATGGGCACGAATCTCCGTTTCGGACGTTGACAAAGATCTGGAGACGGGTGGTGTCCACGACCGGACAACCATGTGAGTGTACTCACGGCCACCCATTGACCCCTTGAGAATGGTTAAAATGGTCGGTTATATTTTAACATAATAAGATTTAAAAAGAAATGTCAAGCGATTGCCACAAAGCCAAGGTAGGTTCCTGGGTGTGGTGCGGCTCCTGGAGCGGAGGAGGAATCAGCCCGGCCTGCTGTGTTTTGTGCTGAAACCATAGAAACGACCTCGGTCTGACCCTTTGATGCCGGTCCCACCGGAGGGGCAGCCTCCCCGCGGAAATGGGCATTTATGGGAAGGTTTTGGTGCCCGATTTAGCCTCCCCCAGGGGTGGCCTCGTACCCAGGGCCGAGAGAAAAGTGATTTCTTTCATCGGTCCTGCTGACCTCAAACAACCTCCTGCCTTTTCAGTCCTTTTTAAACCGTGCTGCTCTGGCCAGAGTGATTTCCACTCTTTGCAAAGAATGTTTTGCTTTTTGATCGACAATTCTGGGCCCGTCTCAGATCTGCTTGCTTGAAGAGCGAGAATGAAACCAGTGAGTTCCTTCTGAGGCCTCAGGCAGCCGGGGGGGAGGGGCAGAAGAGAGTCCTCGCTGTCGTGACTCTTCGGGGCGAGGTGGGACTGGAGAAGTCCTTGCTCCCACCGGAGCTAGCGCCCCTCGGGCCCGAGGAGGAGGGAACCCCAGGCAGGGACCTGGCTCTCTTCCGCAGGCCAGAGTGAGCATCTTCCCAGGACAAGGTCCACCGTCTCTGCGTCAGTCACAGTGTGGCTGGCTGGGTACCAGCTGCCAGCGCAGGCGGGTCAGACAACAAGCACGAGGGGTGAGGTGGCTGCAGGGTGGAACCCAGCTCGTCCCCACAAGGAAGAACCGTGCGCCGTCCATCTGTCCTTCGTGCTCACCAGGTGACCCCACGGCTTCGGACACCACCGCCGCACCAGGCCGTGGGACCCCAACTCCACCCCGCCGACTTCCCCGTTGCAGATCATCGGCCTGAAGGGCACCTCAGACTCCAACAGGAGGCAGCAAGCTTCTCCAGAGAGGACGGCAGGGTCACTGTTTTTGGCTCTGAGGACGGATGTGTGGACACAAGTACTCAATTCTGCCATTCGAATGTGAGAGCAGCCCCAGGGAATGATTCACCGGGGAGAGTGCAGTGGCCGTGTTCCAATAAAACTTTATTGATAAAAACAGGCGGCCGGCAGGACGTGGCCTCTGAGTTGGGTCGCCTGTGCTGTGGGTCAGCCAGCCGCACGGTTCGCTTTAGGACACGGCGGACTGTGGAACGTGTCACAGGCCCTTTGTTATTCACATAGCACGACAGTGTTTGTACGCGGCTTGTTCTGGGGTCTGCTGGCCTCCAACAGGGCATTCAGGAGCTGCTAATGCATCACCTTGAACATGGGCGCCCCCTGTGGGCAGGTGAACAGAGCTCCAGACCGAATGGGGAGCTTCAGAGACACCCCGATGTCCTGCGAGAAAGTGGACACCGAGTGAAGTCTCCGGGTTGGCTGAACTGGGTTCTGCTGGCCTCGCAAACGTCTAGTTCTACGTGGGGTTCCCTGTAGCACCCTTGCAAGCCTTTTGAACGGTTTTCATACCTCCTGGTGCCCCTGTAAAACGTGAATGATAAAAGTGCCCGCCTCGTGGGTGAGGGGAAGGTGGATGAAATGATTCACGTGCAGTGCCTGTAGCTATGCCGGGCACACGGCAGGGCTCGCCAGGTGCCAGGGGCGGCATTCTCTTCTGGACAGTACAAGCCGAAGGGGGAGGGGACACAGACAAGGGGCAGCAGGTGGCTCACCCTCCAGTGAATCCGAAGAGCCACAGATCACTGCAGCCCCTCCCTCTCCCCAGAAACGCCTTCCTGAGATCACACTCCGATGGTCAGCCTGGTGCCGAGTGGATGGAAAATAAAGCATGCCCCTCCCCCACCCCCAGCTGGCACGGGTTCCAAGTGTCAGCACGGACTGCCAGGTCTGGTCACCACATCGGGGGTGGGTGGACATTCATCTGGGCACCTGCTCTGGAGCCCAGTGGACGGGGGTTGGATGACCTCAGACCAGGGTCACACACCATGATGGGGAAAGGCTCGGGTCAGGGCAGTGGACCATTTAAAGACTTACTCTGGCCCTGGCCGGTTCGGCTCAGCGGTTAGAGCGTCGGCCCGCGGTCCAGAGAGACCCGGGTTCAGTTCCCGCTAAGGGCACATATGTCGGTTGCGGTTTGTCCCCGGCCCCGGTTGGGGTCATGCGGGTGGCAGCCACTCGATGTGTCTCTCTCAGATCGATGTTTCTCTCTCTCTCTCTCTCTCCCTCCCACTCTACCTAAACAAAAAATGGAAAAATGTCCTTGGGTGAGGATTAATAAAAAAAAACAAACATAAGACTTCCTCTGGCCCTTGGCGGGGAGACCGCAGTTGGCCTGGAGCTGCCCGTGGAAGGAGCCCCTCACGGTGGCCTTTCCAAGCCCGCTGGCCGTGGTGTGCACCCTCTGCTGACAGCGGCTGGCCTCCCTGCCTTCACCTGGGCCTTCCCACTCCACCCCGGAGGTCTACCTGCTCCCCCCTGGTCCTGCAGACCCCACCGCTCGGCCGGGACAGCTGGGGGGCCATCTGACGGAGGCACAGGCCTCAGCCCGGCCCTGGAGGTGCTGGCCGGTGGCCAGTCTGCCGCAGAGCTGAGCCTTGTCCTCAGGGACATAGCCCTGTGGCCGGGCAGGGCTGGGCACTCCCGGGCTCCGGTCCGTGTCTGAATGAGTCCACTCTGGGGCCACAGGCTCACGCCCTCCGCTGAGTGCTCGCGGTGCCAGCAGGTCTTCTTCCGTCTTGGGAAGGAGGGGAGGAGTCTGACCGAGACTAGGAATGGGGAGGGTTGGAGGTGTGGACCGGAAGCCCTGCTGGCCCGTCACTGCCCTGAGCCTCGCCGGGCACAGCCTGGCAGGAGACGGGAGACGAGGCCAGGAAGCTTCCCTGGGGCCCTCAGTCCTAAGGAACCAGAAACAGCCAGACTGCGGGCGGGCCCTGGGCAAACGCGTCCCAAGTGCCCATCAGATTTCCTGGCGGGTTTTTTCCAATGTCACCGTGAACTGGCAGCTCACACTCCGGGCTGCCGGGGCTCTGTGTCCCCTGCCTCCGTCACAGTGAAGCTGGAAGTGGGAGGGGAGCCTTTTCTTGGGGACGCTGTGGGGTTAGGGCTGAGCCCCAGGAGAAAGCCGCCAGGGTCTGTGACAGGAAACAGCACAGAAGCCACAGTACCTCCAGTAAGAACATTTCAAAGCAACATTTCTGGGTAGTTCAATTTCCTGCTGCATTTTAATGACCAACAGAGAAGATATAAAAATGTCATGTATCGGGAAACGCCAACCTTTTGCTTTCTTGGTTATTCTAATAGATCAACTGGAACATTACAATATGATTTAAAAAAAAAAAAAAAAGGATTTCCGCCAAACACTGGAATCAATCTTTTGTGCTACAGACCCTGTGGTTACTGCTCATCAGACACTCAAAATACATGTGGATAGAAGTTAAGCGGGAAGAATCTCGGCTCCTTCCCCTCCTGACCACAAGGCAGGAGCCGTCTTACTATTTTTCAGGAATAGGGTGGTATTGATAAGGACACACGGGGGACCCTTGGGGTTTCAGGAGGTGAGGGGCCCGCTAGCTCCATCTGCCTCTGTTACCACCACCAGCCCCAGGCCCGCCAAGTGAGGTTGGGGGGCAGGCACCAGGGGAGGCAGGGAAGCGACCTCTGCTCGGCTCAGCCTGGGTCAGGGGTGGGAGGGACGGTGACCAGGGCTGCCTGTGGGGATGACAGCCCTCCTGCAGGCCCATGCAACGTCTCCTTCTCCTCTAAAATGCACCGGGACCTTTATAATCGAACTTTGTTTTCTGCTGCTAGTAACATCGCAAACGCAGAGTCTGGCTTCTCAGCAAGGACTTCGGGCTTGTCGAACTCAACCACCTGAAAGTCAGAGAAGAGCGGAAGTGGTCAGAAAATGCCCACCCACCATAGAACCCAAAGCTCTGAAGCCAGGTGACCCCAATGGCTTCCTGTACCTTCCCATTTTCCATGACCAGGACGAGGTCGCAGTTCAGGACCGTGTTGAGGCGGTGGGCGATGGTCAGCACTGTGCAGCCTTCGAAGGCATCTTTGATGGTTCTCTGAACAAGGCTGTCAGTCTTGGGGTCCATGGAGGCAGTGGCTTCATCAAGGAGAATGATCTGTTGAGGAAGAAATGTTGCAAAAGTCACAGTAAGCCAAAGCTGTACCTAGAGGAAAACGTATAATCTTAGCTTCATTCATTCATTCATTCATTCATTCATTCTTTCATTTTTAAAAGGAGAAGGGCTAAAAAGTAATGAACTGTGTATTCATTTCCAAAAGTTAGAAAAACAATGGCAACATAAAAGTTACATCACACCACTTCCTTCATCTTCTTTAGAGGGACTAGCTGGGGAACAAGGCTGTATAATCTTTACTCCTCTTTCTAAGTGTTTTATTCTAATCCTGCAAACTGGTAGGAAGCAGCACCCAGGATTATCTACTCGTGTTGCATGCTAACACGAGTCGGCATGCAATGTAACGCACATTAGCTTCCCGTTGTTGCTGTATCAAATTCAGAGGCTTAAAACCACATGAGTTGATTATCTCATGGCTCTGGAACGACATAGTCCCAATGTCAAAGTACTGTCAGGGCTGGATTCCTGTTGCAGGCTCGAGGGGAGGAACCGGTCCCTTGCAGTGTGCAGCTTCTAGATGCTGCCTGCGCGTGCGGCCCGTGGCCCCTCCCTGGCATTGCTCGAATCTCCACTTCCGTGGTCAGATCTCGTCTGCCCGGCTCTGCTGCCTCCTTGTGAGAAAGACCTGGGCCTACCCGAGTCATTCGGGGTGACCTCGTCTCAAAACCCTCGATGGAGTCGAATGGGCAAAGCACTTTCCCAGGCAAGGTAACACAGTCACAGGTTTCCCGTGTCAGGACGTGGATGTCCTGGGGGGCCAGGGGGCACCGTTCTGCCACCCACCGTGCGGGTCCACCAGTCAGAGGGCCGCAGCTCAGTGCCCACTCTGCTTGACCTTGGCTTAATTCCTGAATTTCCCCCCCGGCTCTGTTTGTTTCCTTGTGGGTAAAAGGGGGTTACACCTCATTAAGAGCATGAAATGCAGAAACAACACAAAACAGCTTAGCAGTCTGGCCGAGGGCCGGCTGTCGCCCTTTCCTGGGGAGCCCACGCCACCGTTACACTGCGATCAGGGTTCGGGGCGTGAGGTTCCGAAAGCACCAGCGACCTCTTCCCTGAAACCAGCAAGCAAGGACGTCCGAGTCGCTAAGAAGAATGAGCACACATTTTGCCATTCTCAGATGCTCGCTTTTGTGAGTGGCCTGGGGACTCCTCTGATGAAGAATCGTTCAGGGACGAAGGGGAGAAGTCGAGGGGGCGATTTCTCAGCCTCGAACCACTCAGGGAGACAGAGAGACCAAAGCGAGACCGCGCCCCAGGACGAGACCCCGGAGAGGCAGGTGCTGCTGCCGCAAATGGCTGTTACTCTTCAGTTTCTACGTCTCACAACTTTGTCTTAAGGAACAGCGATCGGTTTTTAAGTGGCGCAATCGCTCTCTCTGCTGACAGACAAAGACAGGCCTCTCCCCGACGGAGCCGAGGCGCGGCGGGAAGTGCGCAGGGTTCGACCACCGCCTTTCCCTGCTGCGTCCTTACTTTCGAATCGCGGAGCAGGGCCCGGGCCATGCAGAGCAGCTGCCGCTCCCCCACCGAGAAGTTCTCCCCGTTCTCTGCCACTTCGGCTTGCAGTTTCTCTGGGAGCTTCATTATCTACAGAACAGAGAATGCCGCATTTGTGCCGATGATCTATGAAATTGTTCTGTGCCACTTACATCGATTGCCCCCCTCCTGTCGCATTCCTCAGCTGGCTTTATGTTCCTGCGGGGAAGAAAGTGCAAAACAACGATCCTTTCAACACCGCGAACGGCACCAGGAAAGGCCGGGAGTGGGCGGACATTCATCATTTAGAATCACAGTGTGATTTCTAACCCACTGGCACCTCGACAGAAGAACACCAGCGATGCACAGATGGGCCCAGAGAAACGCAAACTAGTATAAACGGCTTCCGGGGCCCCTGTTTGCATGGACAAAATAGAGGAGGAGGGGACAGTTTTCTAGTCATCAGGAAAGGTAAGACGGTCTGGTTTATCCAGCATGACAAGTCAAAACGGCATGGGACACGCTCACCTGGGTACCAGTCCTGGGCGGGGGGGGGGAGGGGGTCCCCTGTGGGCTGCAGAGGTGGCCACACTCCCCTGTGGAGCCCAGTCACAGGGTCAGGTCCACTCCAACCTGCCTGCCTGCCACTCCCAGAGCAGCCCCGCCCCTCCTGGAGCAGGCCCGCCCCTCCTGGAGCAGGCCCCGCCTCTCCCAGAGCAGGCCCCGCCCCTCCTGGAGCAGGCCCCGCCTCTCCCAGAGCAGGCCCCACCCCTCTCAGAGCAGGCCCGCCCCTCCCAGAGCAGGCCCCGCCCCTCCTGGAGGCCTCACCCACCCCTCACCTTCCTGTCCTTATAGTTCCCAAAGGCAGTGAGGCTATGGGCAGAGCACTGGGGCACTCCCTGGGCTCTGAGTCAGGTGGACATGGGTTCGAGCCTCCATTCTGCCATGCGCTAGCCTGCACCTGTCACTTCCCTGAGCCTTCATTTCCCGTCTCTAAAGAAGGAGGTCGGTGTACCAGCCTCCGAGGGCTGTGGTCAGAACCAAGGCCCTGATACATGTGCAGGTCTTGGCTGAATCCTTGCAGAGACCTGATAAATTGTATCGATTGTTGCTTCTAATCATAACACGTAAACAAGGCTTGTGTCTTCTGACATGGGGGGGTCAACAAGTAGCCTTGGCCAAATGCTGGCCCAGTACTCATCGAGTCTGACCCTGGGCCAGGTGCCCGGGGCACGAGTGCCAAAGAGACGTCCCGGACAAGCCCCCAAGACCTACTGTGTCTCTCATGCACGTTCTCTCCAGAGCCCGCCAGAGCATCTCATCCGTGTGGCTCTCGAAGGGGTCCAAGTTGTACCTGCAATGACGGAAGGACAGGGAGCTCATTTCTGAGGCGAGAGGTCCAGGGAGCAGGTTTTCTGTAGCACATGGTGGGGACAGGAGGTGCTATGACCCAGTGGCTCCCTGGGCAGTGCTCACTTATCCCGGGATGAGGGCCCATGAAACACCAGCCTCAGGTCAAGAGACGAAGGACCCACAACTCCGTGGTGGAGCAGAGACCACCGAGGTGGAATACAGAGAAGCCCGCCCAGAGAGCACCCCGCTAGGCGCTCAGGAAGACCCGCGGTCCTCTCAGCGGCCATGGGCAGCCGAGTGCCTTGGACCGTCTGCAGGTTCTCAGCAGGGAGGAAGGGCGAGGGAGCAGCGTGGCGGGCCATTGCGTTCACTCTGCCGTCAGAAGCACCAGCTACTGCAGTTCCAGGCTCCCGGAGGGCATCTGTGGGGGTGCGTCTCCACGGGGGATGTGTTTTTCATACAATGTGAATAGGGCCCCTGCTGCTCAGTGGGAGCGATATCCCTCTCAGGAGAGGGTCCGCCACTCATGGGACCAAGGGAGAGCCCGGCTTTGTCCTTGGGCCTGCACCTGGGATCTTACACCCTGCAGAAGCTGCAACGCTACTGCTCCTTGTCTGTCACACTTGGCCACGCACAGCGGCCTCCGTCGGATAGCCACTTGTTTCAGTGCACAAACCGGGCACTTTTGAGAGGGGCTGTTGGTACACCTGATAAAATGCGGACACCGAGGCTCAAACCTGTGCCACCCAGGATGTCTGCTCGCCCCAGGTGTAAGCATCTTGCTACTAGCCGTGGTGTTGAGTGGGCACAAGTGCCGCTCAGGGCCCTGGTTCTCCGCCCCTCGCTGGGCCTCCCTGGGGAGCCGGTGCCAGCCCCTCGGCACGCTGCTCCCTCAGGGGGGCGGCCCAGACCAGCCACGCCCCGGCGCCCCCCAGAGCTCCTGGTCGGTCTGATTGCACTGTCCCGAGAGAGGAATGCAGCGATCAGAAACAGCTACCTTACTGTACCTACAAACAGGACAGGGTCCTGGGGGATCACAGTCAGCTTGGCTCTGAGGTCCTCCAGGCCGATCGTGCAGATGTCCACGTCGTCAATGAGGATGGTGCCGCCGGCGGGCTCCACCAGGCGGAACAGGGCCATTCCCAGCGACGACTTGCCTGGGGACAGGACGAGCCAGAACAAGTCAAAGGCCAGTTTGTGCTTCCGTCATATCCACGTATCTGATGGGGGGGGGGGTTCACGCAGCGACAGAGCTCTGTGAGGGTCCTGCCGACAGGAAGGGCTCACCCTGGGGGGCGGTCGGCAGCCCCCACACGCTGACCCTCCCCTCCACACCGTGGCTATTTGCACAGGGCTCATCCTGTGGGTCTCGTTTCACCAGGATGACTCTCCTTTAACTGACTCAAAACTGAATGTGTGTTTGCTTCCAACTCCACACGCCCGCTTGCCCCGAAACCCTAGTTTACAGGAAGGAGATGCGAGGAGAAGCTGGGCCAGCCTGCGGCCCGCCACGCCGCCCTAGCCGCTGAGCCCGCAGACCCCGAGCGAATGCAGAGAAAACGCCCGGCGGAAACACGGCCGCCGTCCTCACCAGAGCCCGTCCTTCCCACGATCCCGACCGTCTGCCCGCTCGGGATGTTCACGTTCAGCCCGTCGAGCACGAGGGGAGTGTTGTCCCTGTATCTCATCCGGTAGTCTCTGAATGTGATCTCCCCACGGCTGGGCCAGTCCTGGGGACAGGGCCCCGCTTTGAGCGGCTGAGTGCATTCGGGGACACAGGTCTGAAAAGCAGGAGAACCGACGACGGGTTGGGACTCCCTCGCGTTCCCATTCATTCCGCTCATTCACGCGCACAGTTCTAGGTCCCCGGGTTCGTGGTCGGCTAGACCAGTTAGGCCCCGGCACTCATGAGACTCGGTCCGGTGGGAAAGAGAGAGAATGAAGAAGAGAAGCCCTGGCCGGTTTGGCTCCGCGGTTAGAGCGTCGACCTGCGGACCAGAGAGTCCTGGGTTCGGTTCCCGCTAAGGGCACTACCTCGGTTGCAGTTTGTCCCCGGCCCTGGTTGAGGTCGTGTGGGTGGCGACCACTCGATGTGTCTCTCTCACATCGATGTTTCTCTCTCTCTCCCTCCATCTTTCCCTCCTGCTGTATCTGAAGATAAAGGCAAAAATGTCCTCGGCTGAGGATTTAAAAAAAAGAAGAAGAAAAGACATCGAGATGAAGACAATGAAGCAGAGGGCTGGAGAAGAATGTGGGTTCGAGGGGGTGGGCGCAATGACAGTGACTGAAGGGGACCTGGAATGCTGGGAGGTGGCCGGCGGGCTGCCAGGAGATGGAGTCTGGCGCCTTCCAGGCAGAGTGGGTAGTGGTGCCCTGAGGCCAGAACACAGTTGTGCACTGGGAGGAACAGAGAGAACCTTGGCGAGGCTGAAGCTTAGTGAGATGATGACTGCAAGGGACAGCTGCCGCAGGCAGGGCCTGTGGGCTGGTCACTGTCGGCCGCGTGCCCTGCAAGCTGGGCAGCACCTGCAGGCCCGGCTTCGAGACGGGCAGAATGTGCCCAGACAGCCCCTGCATCTGCAGGAGTCACCCCGGTGCCGGAGCAGGAAGGTGACGGGAACGCGGGTGTCGGTTCAGAGGTCTTGCGAATTCCGTGGAAAGGACATTTAAATTCCAAAAAGCCCACGAAATGCGCAGTGTAATTAAGGGTAGAGCAGCGTGGCTGCCTTACCGGACCAACCCCTCCTCTGGGGTTAAGAACCCCCTTTAGCGACGGGAAATAGGGCTCCCATGTGCCCCAGTGGGGTGGCCAACCAGCCCGAATTTCTGGTCAATGAGCGACCACAGTTAGCCAAGAAAACAACTGTATTTGTGGACAGTGACTATTTTTAACCCACGGAAGATTTAGAATTAATAGTAAAAGTATTTCACAGAAGCAACATTGTAACAGGAACATTTTTCGTTTAAGGAATCTGCATACCTGGAGTTTTAAAGTTTCATAATATTAATAATATTCGGTCTTGTGATTCTAATTTAAAATCACAATCGAACAGTTTATTTAAAAATGATTTTAAGTTAAAAGCCTACTGTTTATGTATAGCATTTGGATTTATATATAGCATTGGGATTTTAGGCAAACTCAAAGCCATAAGTGGGTTACATAAATCTATATTTTTAGATGTGTATAACCTCAGGAGGGCTTATTTGTTAAATCAGATAATCAGGGTACTTAAAAAAGAAATGTTATCGATTACATTTTAAAATGCAGTTTTAAATGCTTTAAAGTGTTTAATTAAGTGTTTTAAGTGGCCAAATGCTATTCAGGGGCCTTTAAAAGTGATTGCTCCGATTGGCTAGACTTCCTTTCAAAGACTAGCAGAATTTGTAAATTGAGCATAAAGGTTTTTACAGAAGAGCATCTAAGGTGAGCCACCAAATTATCTTTTCTGCGCAGAAACAGCCTCAGGGAACGTGTTTTTGGAAAGGGACCTCTCTCAACACCAGGACTCAGGGTTGTGTTGTAAATACGGGTTTTAAGAGGAGAGGCTGTGGTCAGAGTTCGGTTTTTACGAAGATCCCTCTCCCAGGTAGAAAGATCAAACGCTCACATGGGTTCTGCCGGAATTAACTGGCTTGCGCTCATTTCTTACCGAAATGTACCCCCTGAGCAGCTCCACGGAGGTGAACTTGGCCTGGGTCTCCGTTCCTGTCCGCACGCACACCTGCAGCAGCCCGCTGAGCTGTGGCAGAGGGGCAAGCCCCGGTCAGGCCCCTTCCTGCCTTCAGGGACAGCCCAGCAAAGTCCCCTCGGGCCCCACTCAGGGCCACACACACAGTGGGCAGGTTCCCAGCCAAGTGCCCGGAAGTGAGGCTCCTCCTGTTGGGTGTTTTCTCCTTTAAACATTTCCTTTGTATTTAGAAACAAACGGTAACTAAGTTTCCCAGGATCTCCAGATGGTGACAGCCAGCACACCCCAGCACCACCTGGTCACCGCCTCCTGGTTTGACACAAGGGCTGTGAGCGGGGCTCTCCCAGCCTGCAGACTGCTGGTATCTGCCCCCTGCCTACCCCCTGGGGGCCCCTGCACCTCGTTGCCCTCCCTGCTTTACCCCACCCACAGCCAAGAGGCATCAGGAATGATCAGAGTTCGAGGAAAGCCACCAAGCCCATTTGCTTGCTTCCAACATGAGAAAATCTAGGCCCAGACTGGGGGGTGTGGCTTGATAAGGTCACCCACCTCGGGCCAGGATCCCCCAGATGCCGACCCTAGAGTTGAGTGTAAGCACTTGTATTCAGGCTGGGTGAATGGTGATCCCCCAAAAGCTATGTCCACATCGGCATCCCTGGGACCTGTGAATGTTACCTCCCTTGGAAAAGGATCTTTGCAGGTGTAATTAAGGGTCTTGAGACCATCCTGGGTGGCCGGGCTGGGTCCTAAACCCAACCAGTGTCCTTATTCTTCACCGGTTTCCCATCCACCTGGGGAGCCTCCTCTGTCCTCAGGGGACAGCCCATATTGTGGAGTTTGTGCTTTCTAGAGGGGCCCAGTGCCCCAGTGCCTCAGTGTGTGCAGACGCTTCCCCCACCTCACAGGGATGTTTGCAAACAATCTCTTGGGAAGCTGCTGGTACCCCTCAGAAGCGTGACCTCAGCCGAGGAAAGCTGTTTTGCGTGGAGTAAGGAAGGAATCTATTCAACATCATCTGTTCTGTATCTTACTAGGCGACCACAAATGAAAACATCCATCAACGAGGAAAACCCAGTGTTCCCACTTAAGGTAGAGCCCTGAGAATGTGTTTTTGTTCCTCCTCCCCAAACACATTAAAATGATAGTTCCAGAAGAGAAGCCTCGGACAGCAAGGCGGTTGGGAAGAGGTGTCCTTGCACGAGAGAGTCACACATTTCTGGAAGCTGGCAGGAGGGTGAGGGCGTTTCCATAGAATGTCCTGCCGGGCTTCCAGGGCCGTGGGTCCGGCAGAACGGAGGCCCCATGTGAGAGGGGCCCACAGAGAAGCTAATTAACAGTCTGTCTATAGACAGCTCTCCTGGGCCCATTACCCCCTCCCTCCTGTTCCTCCCCACCACAGGCAGCTGGACCCTAGGCCAGTGACGCGCATGCACACGCCACGCACATGCATGCACGCACACACACATGCACATACACACACACCATGCACGCACACGCACACATGCACGCGCGCACACACCATGCACGCACACGCACGCACGCACACACACACCATGCACGCACACACACACACGCCACACACACACACATACACTCACACACACGCCACGCACATGCACATGCACATGCGCACACATACTTCTCTAAAGAAATTGAGTGAACTACCTGGGAATGAAGGGGCGCCCAGAATAAAGGGGCTCCCGGAATAGTACCCTAGACAAAACCCTTTTAAGTCGAGCACGCGGGTGCCTGAAGCCAGCCTCCTGGCTGTTTTCTCAAAGTGAAGCCCGTGGAGAAGCCTTGCCCACCCACCCTCAGTCACCAACTCCCATCGGCTTGTGCCAAGGCAGAGGAACCCCAAGTCCCCACCCGGCCCCTCCCCCTCAAATGCAAATAGACGAGAACCATGCAAACAGCCAACAGCACAGGAGAGCGGGGACCAGGTAGACAAAGAACGGACCCGGGAGAAAACAGATATCACGGGAGAGAGGACAGTTTAGGAAGGAGGGGGACCTCTAATAGATGCAGAGAGATTCAAAAACATATAGGCACCCATTAAAAACGCTTCTTCTAAAATCCACTGAGAAAGAGTTGGTGGGAATTGAGCACATGAATTATGACAGCCACACTCCCAAGTCGAGAGACAGCCGAATGGCAACGCCAAGGAGGAGTCCCGGGGCAAAGACGCGCAGACCAGAACAGGAGCGCGGGGTCAAAGACAGGGAACAAGGTGCTGTTGGGGCGTAACTCGGAGCCCGCCCAAGGCGAGTCACAGAAAGAGAAACAGCCACAGGAGAGGAGACATTGTTTCCAACTTGACCGACAGACCACCCTCCGCCACTCCGAGCACCGAGGAGGAGGGCATCGGGAAAAGCTTCCAGAGAGAAAAACACCAGGCGTGAATCAGGGAAGGAGGGTCAGACCCATCTGGCCGGGGTTCAAATCCTGGCTCTCAGACAGGTGTGTGATCCTGGGCAGGGCTCTCTGGTCCCAGCCTCCTCCCCTGTAGAATAGGGATGATGGTCGTGCCCATCTCCTACGGCTATTGTGGAGATAAACACATTCGTTTATGTTAAAGGATTGAGGACAGTATCCGAGACACAGTCAATGACATGCGATTCACTATTATCATTTTTCAAGAGAAAGGAACCAAGGCAACCAAAAAGTGAAGTCTGTGACGATTTGCCAGGGACACATACCATGGCTGTCTCTCCGGGACCCTTTTCCCTCTCCCACGGGGGCAGCAGTGTGCCTCGGGGGTAGGATAGGGTGTGACGCCACCTCTTGGCCTAAACCAACGGTCCGGACCCCACTAGCCACGAGTGAGTTCTGATCCAGTCAGAGTGTACCCAGGGCTTCTGTGCAGTGAGCAGGAAGGGTTCGTCTCCTGCCTTCTTCCTTCCACAGGCCCTCAGAAGCTGCGGGTCACCACAACCATGATGAGAGTGGTCACAGGAGGAGGACACGCCAGAGGCCACGATCCACCCGTGCCTGAAGCCAACGCAACCACCAGACCTTTGAATGATGTGAACCCAGCAGGGACGGGGAACCTTTATTCTGCCAAGGGCCATTTGGGTAATTATAATGTCATTCACAGGCCATACAAAATTATTAACTTAAAAATCAGCCTGCTATAAGCACTATTTACAATAGCTAAGATCTGGAAACAGCCCAAGTGTCCATCAGCAGATGAGTGGATGAAAAAGCTGTGGTACATGTACACAGTGGAGTACTATGCAGCTGTAAGAAAGAAAGATCTCTTATCCTTTGAGACGACGTGGAGGGACCGGGAGAGTATTATCCTAAGTGAAACAAGTCAAGCAGAGAAAGTCAAATATCACATGATCTTACTTTTTTTGTGGAATATAATGAACAAAACAAGCTAATAAACAAAATAGACCCAGAGATATGGAAGTAGGGTACAGACTGACAAACCCCAGAAGAGGAGGTGTTGAGGGGGAAGAGATAAACCACAGAACTTATAGGCATGCATGTGTAACCATGAACATAGATAACAATGCTGGGGACGGGGTGGGGATGGGGGATGGATCGGGAGGAGGGTGTCAGTGGGGGAAAAAGGAGAAACATCTGTAACAAAAATAATTAAAAAAATAAAAATTTTAAAAAATTAGCCTGCTTTGTTTGGTCAGGCTAGTTGGGTGAGGTGTGCGGTGTTAGCCGGTACTGATTTCATGGGCCCCACACAGCCCTCGGGCCGGACGTCCCCGCCGCTGGAACCCACTGGAGGTGGTTTTCTGTCCGGTCCGCCCTCCCTCGCGCACTCTGTGTGGGAGCCTCCAGGCCAAGCCCACCCTGACCCCGGTGGTACCTGGATAATGTAGGACAATGACAAGCCTTTGGAGGAAGCGCTGATCGAGACGAAACTCAGGGTCACCAGCAAGGCCACGATGAAGGTGACCATGTTCATGAGGACGTCCATTCTCAGGGCAAACCACCTCAGAGCGCAGTTAAAATACAGGAGGTGGCTGGAGTTCTCATCATTGAGCATCTTAAACCTGCGATTGAGAAGCCAGACAGAGCAGGAGGCCAGGTGTGCGTCCCGAGACTAGGACCAGGCTGCTGGGGCAGTCGGCAGGGCATTGTCCATCCAGGGCGAGGGCACGTTTACAGAAACAAACGTCCACGCGCTCTGGAATCTGCCTCCGCAGACATCTGTGCTTTGCCGTTTGCCGACATCAGACGTCCGTGCAGGGCAGTGTGTGCTGAGTGGGCTCTTTTTCAATCCTCACCCGAGGATAATTTTCTGTTTATCATCAGATAGAGTGGGAGGGAGGGGGAGAGAGGGGGACAGAGAGAAAGAAAGAGAGAGAGAGACATCGACTGGCTGCCTCCCGCAGAACCCGACTAGGGCCGGGGACGAACCACAGCCGAGGCTCGTGCCCTTGACGGGAATCGAACCCTTGACTCATTGGTCCGCGGGCCGACGCTCTACCACTGAGCCACACCGGCCGGGGCACTGCTGGGAGCCTCTTGCTGTCCTTCCCAGAACTGGCAAGTGGGACCCCGGCTGAGAACCAAAGGGGTTCAGGGCCTCCCCCTCCACCCTCAAAGGATCCCTGTCTTGGGGTTGGCTACCCCCAAAGGCCTTGTGGAATTCACCACTGGCCCCTCGATCTACAGACAGGGTGGGGTGGGGTGGGCTGTGGAGGAGGTGGCCTTTAGGGACGGTCAGTGTTGGTGATGGTAGAGGAAGAAGAGGGGGTGCTTCATCTGTTCCCCTCCCCAAATAAGGGAAAGAGTCAGATAACTGTTCATAAGGCTGGGGCTCCCTTCGAGAGGAGGAAGCTGACGTGTCGTACCCGTGTCGTGTGCCCGCTGACGGAAGGAGGAGAGGAGCACAGGGCAGTGACAGAGGGGACACGACCAGGGGCTGGGGGCAGGGCCCACTGCTGGGCTCCTCATTCCAGGCACATCTTGCCATCGGCAGGCCTCCGCGGAGCTGCCAGGGGTCTGGTCCTGCTGGGCCCTCCAGGGTGACCCAGAGGGGAGGGTGACCCAGAGGGGAGGGTGACCCAGAGAGGGAAGGGTGACCCAGAGAGGGGAGGGTGACCCAGAGAGGGGAGGGTGACCCAGAGAGGAGAGAGTGACCCAGAGAGGGGAGGGTGACCCAGAGAGGAGAGAGTGACCCAGAGAGGAGAGAGTGACCCAGAGAGGGGAGGGTGACCCAGAGAGGGGAGGGTGACCCAGAGAGGAGAGAGTGACCCAGAGAGGGGAGGGTGACCCAGAGAGGGGAGGGTGACCCAGAGAGGAGAGAGTGACCCACCCAGAGAGGGGAGGGTGACCCAGAGAGGGGAGGGTGACCCAGAGAGGGGAGGGTGACCCAGAGAGGAGAGAGTGACCCAGAGAGGGGAGGGTGACCCAGAGAGGAGAGGGTGACCCAGAGAGGAGAGAGTGACCCACCCAGAGAGGGGAGGGTGACCCAGAGAGGGGAGGGTGACCCAGAGAGGAGAGAGTGACCCACCCAGAGAGGGGAGGGTGACCCAGAGAGGGGAGGGTGACCCAGATAGGAGAGAGTGACCCACCCAGAGAGGGGAGGGTGACCCAGAGAGGGGAGGGTGACCCAGAGAGGGGAGGGTGACCCAGAGGGGAGGGTGACCCAGAGGGGAGGGTGACCCAGAGAGGGGAGGGTGACCCAGAGGGGAGGGTGACCCAGAGAGGGGAGGGTGACCCAGAGAGGGGAGGGTGACCCAGAGGGGAGGGGGACCCAGAGGGGAGAGGGTGACCCAGACACAGGAGTCCCCCGAGGGTGTGTCTTCCCTGCCTCCATCGCCTGACCAGCCTAGAGACCCGCTGGGAGGCGGCTAAAGGGCACACCTGCCTGGGCACACCTGCCGGACACACACACCCAGCACAGCGTGGCCACACCAAGCCTCTAGGGAGAGAGGGAGGGAGGGCTGTGTCCAGAATTCATTCAAGATGCAAATTTTAATGGACGGCGCTAAAGACACATCAGATTCAATTGCCACAGCAGTCTCCCTGAGCTACTTGGAGCAGGTGGTAGAAATCAATGGGAAAAAGGAACACCCTTCCATGTCTAAATCCCTGGAGAGCCAAGATGCCCCACCGGTCCGGCCGCGGGCGTCCTCGGGCTCTGCTGCCCCGTCCTGTTCCAAGGTTCCTCGGGGGGGTCTGTTGGGAAGCAGCTGCTCCCACCCAGGCTGGGTCCTGCAGCGCCCTCCTCCCTGTTCCTCTGGGGCTTGTGTTCCCCAGAGCTCAGGGGACAGTCTTGCAGACACCGAGGTGCTTCTACCATGGAGCTACAAAACCTACAGATGCCCCTGGCAGCGTAAGCGACTGAGACGTCGTCTGGGGTCTTGTGTGGGAGGCTGGTTAGATTGGGCAGAAACAGAATCACTGGCTGGGATCAAGCTGGACTTTGACCTCAAACCCTTCTTCACGCTTTCGCACTGTTGTCGGTGGCAGAAGCAGTACTTGTCACGAGCCCACGCCCTCCGGAAAGTCCGTGACAGGCAAGAATGTATTAAAAGGGGGGCTCAGCTCTCCCAAGGACCCTCCGGGAAGCCTCGGAGGAGACACAGCTCAGCTCTGTTATGGTTGGTGTGCGTCGAGAAACGGCTCCACGGACAGACACTGGGGTGATTGACACCTGACATTCAGGTCCAACTAGTAACCAGTAGCCGATGACCGCACCAAAGACACGGATGCCAAGTCCCCACTGGGGTCCCGTGTGGCCAAGGACCGACAGAGAGAGAGAGAGTTAGATGCAAACTTTGAAGTGTGTCTTCGGTGTTTAAAGAAGGAAAAGATAAAAACAAACAAACACTTGTGTCGCTGCCGTGTCTCGCGGAGAGCGTAGACGGCACTCACTGCAGGTGGGGAGAATAAGTAAATGACTGGAAAAACAAGACACAAAGAAAGCTGTGTGGCAGAGACCTGCTACAGATTCTCCCGACGCCCCTCTCTGTTCTTCCTACGGATACAGCCGGACTTCATTTCCCAGCCTCCTTTGCAGTTAGGCGACCCCATGACATTGTAAACTGGCCAATGAACGTGCAGAAATGAGCATCTTCATTGGAGTTGAACCAATAAAAACGTCATAGGGGTCCCACCACCCAAATCTCTCCCTGCATCTTCCAGTTGGATACCTGGAACCCTGGAGACGTCCCCAAGGCCCTTGAGACAGGACAGTGACAAGGGAAAGAGAACGTGTACCTGAGTTTGGAGCAGAAACCCTCCCCTCCCACGGGCCCGTTCACTGCGACTTGAGGAAGAAGACACAGGCTTTGTGTTAAGCTGCTAAAATCTGGAGTTGCTTGTCCCTACGGTGCGTCTGCTGTGATGGGTTCCCAGCGAGTCTGTGATCAGATTGTGTTTTAGAAGTTTGGAGCCGGAAGACTCCAGAGCAATGTTCTCGTCTGGTCCCCACATTTTATAAAGACAGAAGCGGTTCCGGCCACTAAGTGACAGGCAGTGTGGCCTTTAAAAGTCCTGTTGTCCAGCCCCGGCTGGTGTGGCCCCACAGTTAGAGCGTTGACCCGAGCACTGAAGGGTCGAGGGTTCGATTCCTGGTCAAGGGCACCTACCTCGGTTGCAGGTTGGATCCCCAGCCCTGGTTGGGTCGTGTGCAGGAAGGGAACAATCTACGTGTCTCTCTCACGTCGATGTTTCTCTCTCTCTCTCCCTCTCCTTCCTACCCTTCCACTCTGAAATCAACGGAAAAAATATCCTTGGGTGAGAATTAAAAAAATAAAAATTATCTTGTCTAGAAGTAGGGTTCAGACGGACAAACTGCAGAAAAGGGGGTGGGGGGGAGAGATAAACCAATGAACGTATGCATATCAGCATAACCAATGGACACAGACAACAATGCTGGGGGGCGGGGGCGGGAACGGGAGGAGGGTGTCAATGGGGGAAAAAGGAGAAACAGCTGTAACAAAAATAAGTTAATTAAATAAAAGAATCATCTTGCCAAGGAATATGTAATAACATAAAAGATGCTATTTAAAAACAGAGCCAGGTGAAATAATGATAACTATTTCAGAAAGAAAAAGAAAAGTCTGGCAGGAAATACATGGAAATACGACTTGGATCCCTCGTCCTGTTTTCTGTTGTAACCCATCTTCCTAAATTGAACACATTTTACTTTCCGTGTGAAAGAGTAAAATACGTCAGATCCCGTGCTGAGGTTGTCACTGAGTGAGCTCATGTTGTCGGGGGCCAGGCTCGGGGAGAGAGGCCTGTCTGGGAGGCTTCTCCGAGGGAGGTTCGAGTGGCTCCTCCCCTGCAGGGGGTCCATGCCCCGCCCCCCCCAGCTCTGCGGGCCGTGACCTCCGGGTCAGGGCAGCGGACACGCACCTGTGGACACAGTCCTCCTTCCTGTCGTAGGCGTGGATGACGCCCAGGCCCTGTACGGACGAGGTGATGTGGGAGAACCAGGGTGAGCGGCTGATGTTCTCCACCTTCTTGAGCTCCTGGATTCCTCTGTGGAAGATGCTGCGGGAACAAGGGGCCACCAGGGCGGCCAGGGAGGTCTCAGAGGGCCCCCCTCAGCACACAGAGATTCAGCCCTGCACTGGAGACAGAGCGAAAGCAGACAGGGGGCCCGAGCCGGGACAGGGCTGGCCCACAGTCCTGCTCTGGGAGGGGCCATCCTGGCTGTGTGAGCCCCGCCCTGGTGTGCCTCAGGTCCCAGCGCCTGCAGCACCAGGGCTCCCTGCATGGATGTCCTTCTGGTCCTGAGACCTGGACCTCTCCTGCGCCGCAGCCTGTAAATCCAACCGCCACTTCTGTGGCTCAAGCGGAGGAAAGGGGTCTGTTCCAGTTCGGGAGGGACCTCCAGTGTGTCAGCTGCTGACGGCATTTTCCAGGGCAGTTTCGAGCAAGCGTCCTGGTAGCCTCAGGAGCCGACCTTAAAACCAAACCCTGCACGGGTTACAACTCCCCTGGGTGTTGAAGCTCCCGGGCCCAGGACCCCACGCTGCCGGCTCTGACTGGGTCCCTGTGTGGAGTTACTAAAACTGACAGCTTCAGTTTGCTCTTTGTTTTATTTATTTTTTTATCCTCACCTGAGGACATTTTTTTGTTTTTTGTTCAGAAAGAGTGGGAGGGAGAGAGAGGAAGAGAGAGAGAGAGAGAGAGAGAGAAACATCGACGTGAAGGGACACATCGAGTGGCTGCCACCCACACGGCCCAACCAGGGCCGGAGACAAACTGCAACCGAGGTACGTGCCCTTAGCGGGAACCGAACCCGGGCCTCTCTGGTCCGCAGGCCGCCACTCCGACCGCTGAGCCAGACCGGCCAGGGCTCTCGTTGTCCTGAAGCGGAGCCTCGACCTACCGTAAGAGGACCAGGAAGCCCACAGCCATGCCAGCCAGGACGAGCAGGACCGCGGGGAACACCAGCGCCAGCGTCAGGAGGATGGACAGCACCATGAGGAGCTGCTGCAGGAAGTTCTCCGTGTGGAAGGGCAGCCTCATGTCCAGCTCGTCCATGTCCTTGGAAAACTGGTTCATGAGCCTGCCGGCGGGCGTCATGTCAAAGAAGCTCATCGGGCTCTTGAGGATCTGCGGGCACCGTGGGAGGGGTGCCTGGTGAGCCTGCCCCTCTGCGGGGCGCCGAGGGTGAGCGCAGGGCCTGGCCTTCCTTCCAGGCCCCGATGTCCGGTGCCCACGGTGGGGATGCTCCCCTGTCTGTGACGACCACGAAGGACAGTGAATGTGGGACTTGGCCGCGGGGGCAGCCAAACCTGGGGTGCAGCCCGGGGTCCCTTTGGAGGACGGAGGGACTTTGTGCCCAAGGGCAATAGAAAGCTAAGTTCCACTTAAACATGGGCCGCACCTGTGCGCTGGGCCAGGGCCTCCCAGCAGTGCGGGAGGAGGGGCCTGAAGCACCTCCCCAGGCCGGCCATGTCCTCGGGCTCTTTGTTTTTTGTTTTGTTTTTTATCCTCACCCGAGGACATTTTTCCATTTTTTGTTCAGATAGAGTGGGAGGGAGAGAGAGGAAGAGAGAGACAGAGAAACATCAACATGAAAGGGACACATCGAGTGGTTGCCACCCACATGGACCAACCAGGGCCGGGCACAAACTGCAACCGAGGTACGCGCCCTTAGTGGGAACCGAACCTGGGTCTCTCTGTACCGCAGGCCGATGCTCCAACCGCTGAGCCAAACTGACCAGGGCTCCTCGGGCTCCTTGGACAGAGGAGCCCTCTTGGCCTGCTCGTGCCCACTGCAGTGCAGCGTCCATAGGGAGGGAATCTTCCTGTCCACCCCAGCCTCGTCTGAGGGCCCCGACCCCCCACAGCTCCCCGGAGTTTGCTTTCGCTGTCGGTAATCAGATACGGGGGGACTTTCCCAGACTGGCGGGTCCACAGGTGCCGTGTCGGTCCCCAGGGCCCAGCTGGGCGCCCGGTGCACTAGGCGGTCAGCGAGCCCCGCTGTCCAACGAGCCCGTTATGCCCACCGCTCCCGGGCAGTACCTTGTCAAACACCTGGTCGTGCAGGGAGGAGGACGCCATCAGGGTGGTCTTGGTGAAGACGAAGCCTTTGGTGATGGCAAACGCCAGCACAGACACCATGCTGCCTGCGTACACCCACTGGTACACGCCCTGCCCGGTGTCCGCCAGCGCCGCGCCGATCTCGCACACGCTCCTGTTGTCCGGGGTCCCGCAGGTCACCTTGGGAGAGGAGTGGGAAACATGGGAGCTGGTGAACAGTCAGGGGAGGGGATTTCCCGGGGGAGGCAACTAAAGGGGCCACATGGTTACGAATGCGTCAGGTGGGCCCGGCCGGGGTGGCTCAGGGGCTGAGCGTCGACCCGGCACCAAGAGGTCGCCGGTTTGATTCCCGGTCAGGGCACCTGCCCAGGGTGTGGGCCCGATCCCCAGTGGGGGCCGTGCAGGAGGCGGCCAGTCATGTTCTCTCTCATCCATGTTTCTTTCTCTCTCTCCTTCTCCCTTCCTCTCTCTCTAAAATCAATAAAGAAAAAAATTTTAAGAAATAAGTTAAAAAAAAAAAAAGAATGCCTCAGGTGGTAAAATCGAGTCTGTTCCTTTTGGGGGCCTCTGAGCTTTGCATGGGTCCTGCTGGGCCACCAGGACCCCAAGGGGCACCTGACTTAGGAGGCTTGGTACAGCCAGTGGGAAGGCCAAGGACCCTAACCAGGCAGCACAGGGCGGCTGCCCAGAGGGGACGCTGGGCCAGGAGGGTGACAGGAGCAGAGGGAACCGGTGTTCCACAGGCTGGCTGAGCATCAGTTGGGCACCTGCCACCTGTGTGATGGACAACCCCAAGCCCCTCCCTTTCCTTTCTCCGAGCTGTGCCCTGGGGTCCCTGGTGGGGCGGGAGCCCGGCGAGCCAAGGCTCTGGGGCGGTCCAGGGGCGCGGGGCTCTGTCTCCCCAGGGAGAACACCGTGTTGCAGCGTTTCTGCACAGAGGCCTCCTTCCTCCTGAGAGTGGCCCCCCGCTTTCCTCCGCGTCGCGTGTTAAAGTCCAGATCGCTCTGGGGAGCAAACAAGCTCTTTCTCCTAAGTGCCGCTTTGCTGGTGGCAGTAACAGCGGAGTGGGAACCAGAGGTGGCCGCTGACGGACAGACATCCATAAAAGCAAATGCACCCCCGGGGAGCTAGAGGACCAGAGAAGAGGCCTCGCTGGTGCCATCAGTGGTGCCCGGGTCTGCCGTCACTGCTGCCTGCTCAGCCAGCCGTCGGCGCTGCCCAGGGGGAGGCTGTGCCCGTCTGAAACCTCGGGCTCTCCGAGGAACGGCTCTTCGTGAGCGAGCAGGCCCCGGGGGACACGGACCTTGCGGAGACGGCCCTCCTGCGGCCCAGCCCCGGCCACCCGCTGGCTTCTCCCGGGCACCAGCCGCAGGAAGCTGTGCCCAACTCCAGGGGCCTGTGGCGCCTCTCCGCTGCCCGCATCTGCCCAGTGCTGCCTCGCTGTGGTTGTTATAGCAACAGGACTGCGCCCAAATGTAACCTTGGAGGAGGGGCAGGCCCCCCACGGCATTTCCTGGGGTTCCAGCAGAGCCTGGGAACCACTGGCCGAAAGCTGGGGGGCTGTTAGCAGGCTCGAGCGAGAGCAGACCCACCGGTCCTCCCAGGACGGGCCCGGGCCTCTCGAGAGCCTCGGAGGCGGAGAGACGCCAGGGCCCCGCAGCACACCCAGGGGCCAGCCTGACGCATATGCACCTTGTTCCTGCAGAGGGACTTTGGGGAGCGGAGCCATGCAGGGCGGAAGCCTCTGGCACCGGGCAGGGTCGAGGACAGGATGCAGGCCCCCTTCAGAGGCGGGAAGGCACAGGTCTGTTTCAGCCTCCCCAGCCCCTTCGGCTCCTCCTCAGGGGTGCCTTGCCACCGAGGCCGTGCAATGGACCCTGCCCTGCACCCCCATGGGCCTGCATGCGTGCTGTCCTGCACCCCCGTGGGCCTGCATGCGTGCTGTCCTGTCCTGCAGCCCCGTGGGCCTGCATGCGTGCTGTCCTGCCCTGCACCCCCGTGGGCCTGCATGCGTGCTGTCCTGCCCTGCACCCCCGTGGGCCTGCATGCGTGCTGTCCTGCCCTGCACCCCCGTGGGCCTACATGTATGCTGTCCTGCCCTGCACCCCCGTGGGCCTGCATGCGTGCTGTCCGGCACCCCCGTGGGCCTGCATGCGTGCTGTCCTGCCCTGCCATCTTCTCAGCCAATTTTAAAGATAGGGTCACACAAAACCCTGGTCCCCGTTCGTCTTGCAAAGTGGAAGGATGGAAGGGGAGTTCAGGATCGGAAACGTGTGCTGTGACAACGGACCTCGAAAATGAGCTCGGGTGGCGCTGGAGGGGGTAGGCTCCCCGCAGGTCACTTCCTCAACCTTTTCGGGGCCGGGGGCGGGCGGGGGGGGGGGATGCTCACCTGGGAGCCCTTGTCGAACCAGAAACCCAGCCACCAGTTGCTGAAGGCAGAGCTGCCGATCATGAAGAGGAAGAGGGTCACGGTGAAGAGCGACAGGAGGTAGCCTGCAAGAAGGCAGTGTTCTAGCAGGTTCCAGGGGCCAGGGGGCCTCAGTGGGCCTAGTGTCCTCAGGCCCAAGCCTGGTGGGACATGTAAAACCTGCAGGGAAAGGTCCCCCACCCTTGGGAACCACCTTCCAGGTGGATGGGACAGGTCTGGGTATTGGGCTCCTGAACACATATGGGGACACCTGTCCACCTGGTTAAAAAACAGATCCATCTGGCCGGTGTGGCTCGGGTTGAGCGTTGACCCTGCGCCAAGAGGTGCCAGTTCAATTCCCACTCAGGGCACATGCCCAGGTTGTGGGCCAAACCCCCAGTGGGGGGCATGCAGGAGGCGGCCAGTCGATGTGCTCTCTCATCAATGTCTCTATCTCTTTCTCCCTCTTCCCTGCTCTCTCTCTAAAATTAATTTAAAAAATTTTTTAAGAATAAAAAATAGACCCAAGTTGTCAACTTTTGGGAAAACCACCGATATGCACTGTAACAGAAGTGACTCAGAATTCTTCAAGACAAAGCCCCGTCTCGTGGGAGAGACAGGGCGTGAGACTGTGGAGGGGGGGTTTGCACCCCGAGCCGACGGCCGATGTGCTCGGTGACAGGGGAGGGGCCGCGGAGCCCCTGGGTGACGTGGAGAGCCCGGCAGAGCTCAGATAAAGACAATTCCCTTTGAGGGGCCGTGCTGTCAGACGTCACATTCTCGGGGGAACTAAAAGATCGATAAACAGCTCTGGCCTGAAGAGAATGACTGTTCAGAAATCACAGAAACACAAACCCATAAAGAAGGATTTTTTTAAAATGCAAAGCAAATCAAGAAGCCCCTTGTTTTATAACGAACCTCCAGCCGCCTGAATGTAGGTGTGATAGGTCCTGCAGGTCACCACGCCTTCCCGGGGGGACTCCGGCTGGACGAGCTGGTGCAGAGGAGCTGGGGGGCAAACACAAGGCCTGAAGCTCCCCCTGGGGGCTGGGAGCCCACGGGGCAGTGACCCTCCCGCATGCCCACGCCACCACCCAGGGCAGGTGCCAGCCTTCCTGCCCTTTGCCCCGTGCTTTCAAACTCCCGACACACTTTTCGCTCATTTCATTTTTATTTTTTGGTCCTCGTTACAGCCCTATGAGGCAGGTGGCGTTGGGTCTTTTGAGAACTTTTTCCTAAGCACCTACTATGTGCTCAGTCCTGGGGAGACAGGGATAGCCGTGTCGTGTCCTCTGGAAACAGGTCCTAAGAGGAGGGTAGGGTGCTACCCTTCCGCTGGAGCTCGAGGGGCAGGGGAGCGTGAGAAGGCAGCCATGCCCACCTCAGGCCAGCCCCGTCCGAACCCCACAGAGACCCCTGGAGCCAGGGCAGATCAGACAGCCCAGAGGTGTTCCACGTGCTTGAGGGGCCTGGGATGTCTCTGCCCGCTCCCATCGGCCCCCGGGGAGGGCGGCCCCCCGGGGGTGAATTCCCAGCACTTCCCCCTTGAGCTGCAGCCAGAGAGAGGCCCCAGGCAAAGGAGAGCAGAGGTGGCCCTCGGGAGTCGGCTGGCGCATCGAGGTGCCCAGGGCACCCACAATTCTGCTGCACAAGACACCCGGTGTCCTAGGTCAGCCCCGGCCTGCACTCCCGATTCCCTGCCGTGGCCGTCCCCAGTCCTCACGGGTTTCCAAGGGGCAGGGAGAATGACCGGCACGTCCTCACAGAAGCCTCCGAGGTCCCGGGATGCTGGCTGGGGCCGTCCCAGCAGCCAGGACTGAGCGCCTCTCTTCCCTCTCCTCCACAGAAACACGAACACGCCAGCCCCGAGGCAGAGTCCTGAACCTCACTGGCTTTTATAAACAGCGATGAGCAGAGCTGGCTGCCGGCTGGGGCACAGGCCGCCTGCGCCCTGCTGGGAGGGAGGGCTTCCAACCTCAGAGCGCCTCTCAACACACCCTCCCGGGAACCTCTGCGTCTTTGAAAATGCGCAGCCACGCTGGCTCCTTGTGTCTCCCCCTGGGACTGCGAAAGGAGGGAGCCGCCTCGGCGGGGGGCACAGCCTAATGAACAGCCTCCCACTGTGGAGAAGGGCCGGTCAGTCAGCCAGCCCACTCAGGTGCCCAGCTCACCTTGGCTGCCCATTAGCCAAAGCCCCTCGCCAGGCCCGGGGCAGCTCTGCCATTAACTGGCTCCCTTCCTATCGCTTCCAGATCATTTCATTCCACAGCTTCACTTTGCCCTCAGAGAAGGGCGGTGAGCGGATAAAGAGGCACGGGACCCCAAATCCTGGGCGGCGTGGAGGCCAGGGCTCGGCAGGGAGCAATAAAAATAAGTTCCTCCCCAAGGCGTCTGTCGGAAGCACCATTGCGGTGCCAAGTCTCATCCGTTCGCAGACACATGTTTTCCCCACATGTCGACGCCTCGGGAAGCAGGCGAGCCCTGCCTGCGACCGTGTGCCGCACTGTGGGGTGGCGGGCTCCTCCAGTGCAGGAGCGCGTTGGAGCCTGGCCGTCTCAGAACGGGTAGCATCCGAAGTCGGAGGGACTGCACTAAGGTTATTTTTAGCTACTCATTATTGAGGAAGAGACTCTAAGGGGGAAAGCCACCCGCTGAGGGCTCTTCGAGGAAAAGAGACTGGATCTTCTCCATCCCTGTCCTCTCCAGCTCAGCAGTGTGGAGGGGGGAAGGGATGGCTGGTGACGGGGTCTGAGCTCAGGGACAGGCAGCTGCCCCCAGGCCCAGCTCCCTCTTCTCTCCTCTCTGCCTTCCTGGAATTCCCTCTTGCCCTCAACCCCCGATTTCCCCTCCCCCACCCGTGTCCATGGCCAACTCCTACACACCCACGAAGGACAGGCCAGAGGTTGCCTCCTGCGTGAAGCCCTCCCTGATTTGCTACTTGGACCACAACTCCCCATTACATCCCACGATGCCCCACCCGACCCGAAGGACCGGGGCATGTTTTCTCCTCTCCTCGGACTAGCTGGGCGCCTGGCACAGAGTGCCCGGTCCTCATTGGTTGGCGGAGTGGACAGCCGCGCCCTGCCTCAGTCTCGTCGCTGCCGCACGACCCGCAGCGCTGCGCAGCAGGTGCCCGTGTGCTCTGCCCCGAATCGACCTGCCCGACCTCTGGGCAGTCGTCCATCTTTTCAGCTGATACTAATAATGGCTGTATATAAAGCACTGTGCTAATTATTTTATTTTATTAATTTTCATCCTCGCCCGAGGACATTTTTCCATTTCTTGTTCAGATAGAGTGGGAGGGAGGGAGAGAAACATCAATGTGAAAGGGACACATCGAGTGGCTGCCACCCACACGACCAACCAGGGCCGGGGACAAACTGCAACCGAGGTACGTGCCCTTAGCGGGAACCGAACCCGGGTTTCTCTGGACCGCAGGCCAACGCTCTAACTGCTGAGGCAAACCGGCCAGGGCCCTGTGCTAATTATTTCATACAGAGCTTCTTAAACAACCTTTGCAAGAACCCATGAGGTGGGTGTTGCTGTTTCCCCGTCTTATGAATTGATAAACAGGTTCAGAGCGGCTGCGTGATCTTGCTCAAAGTTGTAAAACTAGCACGCGGTTGAGCCAGGATGGGGACTCGGGCAGCCGAACCCCAAGGCTCACCTTGCGGTGAGCCCTGGAATTCGGTTCACCCTGAGGACACGCACGGGGTGCCCAGGTCTGTGTCCCGCCTACATGTGGGCGCATACAACCGCGGGGTGAGCTGGGGGCAGTACCTTGGACGTCTTTGAACTCGGCGTCTGTGTCCGGTTCCTTCCCTTCCTCTTTCTCATCTCCCGGAGTCGAAACTAGGGTGAGAAACAGCGAGGTCTGTGTCCACTCTCGAGCCCCGGGTAGCAAGGGAGGCGCGAGTCCAACCTGGGCTGTACCTGCACCCTCGTCTCGGTCCAAAGGGCCCTCTCTCAGGGCCTCCCCCATCGCTGTGTTGTAAATGTGCTCGGGGTCCTGGAGACAAAGCGGGGTGCCTTCTGAAGGGATGAGAGGCCTCCCCAGGCCAGAACCCAGGAGGGAGGGCGCCGCGCCCAGGCCCCCAGCCGCGTGTCACCTTGAACTGGAGGCCCTGGAGGTTGTGGACCAGCTTGGCATAGCACCCTCTCTTCTCCATTAACTCCCTGTGGGTCCCCTTCTCACAGATCTCTCCATCCTCCAACAAAATGACCTCGTCACAGGACTCCAGGAACTGCGGGGACAGGAAAGCCGTCTGCCGTGAACTCCTGCCCCGACAGAGAGGAGGGCGGCGCAGACCCCAGCCCGCCGCGTCCGGCGCGGCCAGGACGGGCTCCTCGCCTGGTTCTTCCGACACCGGGGCCAGACCACGCCTTGTGGGAGCCCGTCCTGTGCCCTGTAGGAGTTCAGGCTCCCTGGTCTCTACCCCCCTGCCAGGAGCATCCACCCTTCTTTGACAAGCAAAAATGTCTCCACATGTGGCCAAGTGCCCGTTAAGGGGGCGAGGAGCGTTGATCTGGTGACCGAGGGTCTCCTGAGTGCAAAGGGGGTCTTTGGTGGTCACTGCGGCACGCGGAGGGTCCCCAGAGGGGCTTCCCTGCTCCAAGCCGGGTGATGGAGGTCTGGACCGTCCTGGCAACAGGACTTGGCGGAGGGGGGGCAGGATCTCAGCGGCTGGAACACTGCAAGGCCACCCCATCATCTCATCATCCAGCCCCGAGCAGCAGCGCTCAGGGCAGGCCACAGGGCCACCCCCCGGTCTGGGGCGGTCATCCCGGCCTTGTCTAAGGATGCTGTCCCCGGAGCTTTGCCCAGGGCACCTCTGCCGCCCTGATTGGAGTCCCTGCCATTTTCTTATCACACCTGAGGTCAAAGACTATGCCCAGAGGGCCTTCCTTTCTTTCTGGGCGGGGACAGAGTTCTCCCGTGGGGTCGACCCATCGAAGGGCAGGGAGCTTCCTCGCGGAGTCGGGCGGGATGCTGGGGGTTTTCAGACAGCTCTGTCTCCAGCAGCCTTTGCGACTGGCCAGAGGGCTCCCTGACCTCCAGGGTCAGCTCAAAGTCAAAGCAACCTCTGATGCTCTTCACTGGAAGCCTGAAAGAAGGGGCTCCCTCTGGTCCTCGGACCCCCGATGAGGTGTGGAGGAGGGGGTGGGGCCCAAGAGGCGAGTGACGGCAGCCGCAGCCTCCCTGCCCCCTTCCCGGGACAGTCTAGGCAGGGACAGCCTGGCCGATGTCGACCTAACTTCTCAAAGCCCCATGTCTTCTCTCATCCCTCAGTAAAGGGAGCAGGCCGCTCAGGATCAGCCCATTTTCCAGGTGGGGAAACTGAGGCGCGGGTGTGGGGTCTGCCTGCGTGGGGTGCACGCTCCAGCCCCAGATGCTCCTGGCAAGGCCCCCCTGGCGGGGAGCCCAGCTCGCTCTGTATGATGTGAGCGGTTTTGTTCTGTAAACTCATGAACTGAGCCCTGCTGCATCCCTGTGGCCAGGGCCGGCCTCCGGTAACAGAAGCTGCGTCCCGCCCAAGCGCCCCGGAGCACCTGGAATCATGCCCGTGGGCCCCACAGTCAGAGCAGCAGAGAAATGTTCTGGAAGAGCCCAGGGGCCCAGGTTCCGGACTCAGCCCCCTCCTCCTCCGTGGACAGCCGGCTGAGATTCCAGCGCCATCTGGTGGCTGCCTGCATTCCCAACACGGAAGGGGTGAGATGAGGTGACCTTGGTGAGAGGTGGACTCTGGGGAGACTGCCGGGGACTCTGGGGGGGGCCGTTCTTGTCTAGGACTGGAGCAAGCTGGAGGTTACTGCGCTCCCCAGTGAGGACCCCTGGAAGGACAGCTGTGACCCACATTTGTCAGGTGCCCCCCAGGACCCCTCAGGATGACAGCACCCCCCCACTGCAGGAGGTCTTCAGGGCCTGGACCCTCATGGTGCAGACAGGAGCCCACGGCCAGTCACCTCGCGGGGGCCACAGATATCCAGCCTTCTCCCCCAGCCTGACACGGCCAGCAGAGAAGCCGGGGGGGGGGGGCCTTGTCCTCACCAGCCCAGCCTGATGCTTCCCGGAGGGGATCCGGCCAACTCAGAGGGAACCCAGGAGGTGCCCACAAGCAACACCGAAATGTCTGGTTTCCCCTGTCCCCACCGGCCACAACCCAGAGCGGAAGCAGGTGCCCGTGTCCACCCCACAGGTCGGAGCCGATGGCCCTGGGAGAACCTGCCCTCTGTCGGAGGGAGGGTCCTGGAGCTAGGGCCCAGGGAGGGCTGCAGACAGAGGAGCCGGGGGCCTCTGTGGGAACCGGGGTGACTATACCCACAGTCCCCTGTCCCCTGCTCCTCCCTGACTGTCCGGGTGAGGACAGCCTAGCACAGGAGGGGCAGGTGCAGGCAGAAGAGGAGACCCTATCACGGGGCCACACCCGTCCCTGCACAGGGTCCTGCCAGCCCGTCGCACCTGCAGCTGGTGGGTCACCAGGACCACCGTCTTCCCCCTGAGCGTCTTCTGAATGCACTCCTCGAAGATGTGCTTCCCCACGTGGGCGTCCACGGCCGACAGGGGGTCGTCCAGCAGGTAGACCTCGTGGTCCGAGTAGACGGCGCGGGCCAGGCTGATCCTCTGCTTCTGCCCCCCGGAGAGGTTGAGGCCCCGCTCCCCGATCTGCGGACACGGGCAATGCGACTGCTCGTCACCGGGTCCCCCGCCCCCGGCAGTCCTCGGGCAGCAGGAGCTTCCTGAAGCTTCTCAACGCTTCTGCAGACTGCCCGGCGCCACATCCCAGCTCCCTGCCCCTGGCAGGGACCCCAACAGCACCTCTCCTGCGGGGGCCTGGTGGGCAGCAGCAGCTGGGACAGTGCCCTGAGAGGCTGCGTCCTGGCCCCTCACACGAGAGGGGACAGTAGAGCAGAACTCTCCGGGGAGGGGACAGGCTCCCAGGAGGGAGGAGAGGCTGAGAACCGGACTGGTGTCCCGGGGGTAGTGTTCGGAGGCGACCCCTGCCCTCCTGGGCCCAGCAGAGACCGTGAGGCAAGGGGGCCCTCGGGACCTCAGCCGCAGCCCGGCACTTGGACCTCCGCCTTCAGAGGACCGAGCCTGCCCTCGCGGTGAGCCAGCGGCTTTGGCCAGAAACCCTCCCTGAGGTGACCGGCAGACTGGGAGTGGGCCCCGGAGTGACCACGCTGAACCCAGCACAAGCGGAGTCGGCACCACGTCCATTGTGACCTCCCCCAAGGACAGACCCCGGCGGAGAATTTGAGATGGGAGACCCTGACTTTGTGGCATTTCCTGGCACCTCTCTGTCCTCGGAGCTGCCCAGCCTCCGCCCTGTGGCCCTGGGCCGTCGGGCTGCCCTGGGGCTGGACCGCGGCTCTGCTCACCTCGGTCAGGTCCCCGTAAGGAAGGCTTCTCAGGTCCTCCTGGAGCGCACAGACCCGGACCGTGTGCTGGTACCTGTGGGCGCGAAGGTCAGACGTCAGTGCGGTGAGTGACACCCTCCGCCGCCGCCGCCGCCCTGGGCGCGTCCAGACACCGCTGCTGTCCCGGGGGCGCAGCGAGGATGTGGCCGCAGCTTTGTTGCTGATGTCCAAGGGCAGCTTCCCCTGGGCCCCCCGTCACCCCCCTTCTGATTCAGAGCTGACTGGGAATGGCCCCTCTCCTCACAGACTTCCCACCCTGCGGGGGTGATGACATCAGCATGGAACCCCCGAAACGTGGGGGCGCCAACTGCTGGCACTGCCCGTGGGAGTCGGGGGGGGGTCTTTGCACGGTGTGCTGAGGTCACTGGGGACGGCTCCCCAGGACACGAGACGTGAATGGGTGGAGGGTGGCAGCTGGTGGCCACGACCACCACCCTGATGTCTCCAGGGTGCTCCTGCCCGGTCGGAGAACAGGCCCTTCTCCCCGAGACACCGAGGCGCAGACGGGCCGAGTGCGAGGAGGATCCCAGCTCCTTGCTCCCCCCCCCCCAGCCCTCCCCACTGTCTGGTTCAAGGGACGTCACCCAACCCGCAGAAGCCACACTGCTGGGGCCAGCACCTCGTCCTGCTAAGGACAGCAAAGCTGGGGTCCAGTGACCCTGGGCATGACCCCGTCCCACTCCTGAGGACTTCTGACACCAAGGGTCCCGAAAAGTCAGTAGGTTAGTGGGTGGGAACTCACAGAGGAGATCCCTGAGCCAGGGAGAGCCCACACCCGCCTCCTGAGGTTTCTGTGCCCGCGAGCCCACGCAGGGGCCCCCGTACACCCCAGCACCCACACAGCGCCTCGGGGGCCGCTCCTGCTCTGAGCGCCCCGTGTGCCTGCTGGCAGTGAAGGTTGTGCTCATCCAAGGGGCTGCTGGGTTCCACACCGGGCCCAGGTTCTGACCCGCCCGGCAGGCTGCCTGCGTCCCGGAGAGCCGACTGCTGACATAAATCAGAGCCTCTTGCATCATCACTTCAGCATCATGGCGCACGGGAGGCCCGGGGAGACCCAGCTGCCGGACAGCTCCCGTGGGAACCGGTGATGCTGGGCTGCTCTGCTCTGCCGTGTAATAGCCCTGACCTTGGGCAGCGCACTGTCCTCCCTGGGCCTCAGCTTCTTCCGCTGTAAAATGGGGATTCGAGGCCAGGGTCCCCTACATGGGTGGTTCTGGGGCTCTAAGGAGCGGCTGGATAGGGCAGCCCCTCAAACGCAGCAAAGAACCTCGGGAAACCGGAGCCAGGAGACCCCAGTCCGCAGTGTCTGCAAAGTTGTGACTCCAACTTTGTTTTTGCTTCCTTTGCATGTGGAGGATAACGTGTCCTGATGGTTCTGGTGTCAGCAAATAACTTCAGGGCTGCCGGCCGGTGTGGTTCAGGGCTTGAGCGTCGACCCTGCACCAAGAGGTCGCTATTCGAGTCCCGGTCAGGGCACATGCCCAGGTGGTGGGCCCGATCCCCAGTGGGGGGCAGGCAGGAGGCGGCCAGTCGATGTTCTCTCTCATCGATGCTTCTATCCCTCTCTCCCTCTCCCTTCCTGCCTCTCTAAATTCAATAAAGAAAAAAATAACTTCGGGGCTGATGAACTATGGACGTGCCGTTCACAATTTCGAGCCACGTTCTGGTGACGGGGCCTGGTGCAGAATGGCCAGACCCGCCTTCCTCGCGCAGACGATGTGGGTGCGGAGACGAAGTCCTGGAACACCTGCTGCTCCGCGCTGGGGGCCGAGCGCTGGCTCCTGCGTCCTGGGGCTCCACCCAGGTCCGCTGACGTGCCCCTCCGGAACCCGGGCCAGGGAGAGAACCATCAGCACCCCTGGGCCCGATCAGTGTTCAGTGGAAACTCGTCAGAGAAACCCCTGCACACCCATCACCAGAAGCGCCGAGTCCCTGGCAGAGGGGCCCAGACACAGCCTCCTGCCCCCCAGCTGGCGGTACCTCTGCTGGTCGTACTTGGCTCCAAACAGTATGTTCTCTCTCACACTCCCGTGGAAGATCCATGCCTGCTGGGACACGTAGGCCAGGGTCCCGCTGACCGCCACCACCCCTTGCTGCAGCTGCATCTGGGGACACAGAGCCGGAGACCCTCAGGAGCAAACCTTGCCGGCGTCTCCCCGGGCCCATGGGGCGCCTGCAGCCCTCTATCCCACAAGCCCTCATTCTCGGGGTGCACGAGGGGGAGGCAGAACGTCTCGGCCACAGGCTGCAGACCGAGGGTCTCCATGTCAAAGATCTGCGGGGGGCCAGGCAGGAATATTCTGGAAGAGGCAGTAAGGGGTCCTGCTGCTGGTGGAGAGCACAGGCTGGGGGCTGCTGCCAGCCACGGGGCAGCCTGGTGACAGGCAAACCCACCGCGAAGGCTCCTTTTCCTCACACACTGACTGCACCCCCTCCTCAGCCAGGCACCCGGGGGTGGGCCATCCGGCTGCTGGGGAGGGGCCGGCATGCCCCCTCCTGAGGGAGCAGAGCTGGTGCCATGCAGGCCTGGTACAGCCAGACTCCTCTCTTTTCTTTCTTTCTTTTTATTTGCACTTATCTTCAGATAGGGTGGGAGGGAGGGGCGGGGGGGGGAGAGAGACATCGATGTGAGAGAGGCATATCGAGTGGCTGCCACCCACATGACCCCAACCAGGGCCGGGGACAAACTGCAGCTGAAGTACAGGCTCTTAGCGGGAACCGAACCCGGGACTCTCCGGTCTGCGGGCCGATGCTCTAACCAGTGAGCCAAACCGGGCAGGGCTGCCGCCTCACTCTTCAAGGGGAGCAGACAGTCCAGTTTCTTATGGAAATTTTAAACCTTTAAAACATGGGGCCATCCGATAAAAAACCGTGCGCGGGGTCCCGTCTGTCCCCTGGGGCACCCGTCCACTTCAGACAGCCCACGTGGGGTCGCCTCGCAGACGGGGTGACGCCGGTGGTGACGCCACACTCCGTCTGTCAGGAGGGGGTGCAGGCAGGCCGGGTGCTCAGGGCTGGTGCTCGCGGGCAGGGGCGGTGTGACGAGGGCGGGGAGAGAGAACAGCCGAGGGAGGTGACACCACGTCCCCTCCGGGATGACCACAGGACTTGGAGACGAGAGAATGAAAACAGCGCTGAGGATGGTGACCGCACGTCTCAGCGAGCCGGCTGTGCGCCAGGCACTGTGTGGACCACACTGCGCGGGGAACGGGCTGCAGTCCACCGCTACACGCTTGACCTCGTGTGACCGCCCGCGGCCCTCCTTAGACCCATTTTACAGGTGCGGAAACAGAGGCTCAGAGAGGTGAGGGTACTTGGGAAGCAGCGAGCACAAGGCTGAGACTGGAGGTGAGCCCAGGCATCGGGGGCCCACTCGCTTAACCACTCTGCGTCCTGCCTCTCCAGTGACCACGAGAGGGGCCTGGTCCCACCACGGTCACATGGAGACAGTTTACCTTCTCTGGGACGTTCCAAAGGAGCAGACCAAAGGGTACAAGTTAAAAGGAGGCAGCCCTGGCCGGTTTGGCTCACCGGTTCAAGCATCGGCCCACAGACCGGAGAGTCCCGGGTTCGGTTCTCACTAAGGGCACGTACCTTGGTTGCAGTTCGACCCCGGTTGGGGTCGTGTGGGTGGCAACCACTCAGTGTGTCTCTTGCACATCGATGTTTTTCTCTCTCTCTTCCTCTCTCTCTCCCTCCTGCTCTATCTGAAGATAAATGCAAACATGTCCTCGGGTGAGGATAAAAAAATGATAATAAAAGGAGGCAAATCTCACTCCAATATGCAGCCAAACTCTCCAAAGAGGGAGCGGGCTGCGGAATACTGAGTTGCCCATCACCAGAGGCATCTGAGCCGAGGTTGGCTGTGGAGAGGACCGGGCAGGGTCACCTGCAACATGCCTGCTACTCTAGGGCCTCAATGGGCACACTCAGGAATGCCCAGCATGGCGACCCCAGGAACTCACCTGATTCTGCCCCCACCTCCACCTTTGGGCAGGAAAGGAGTTAGCACTATTTATAGAAATGAGTCGCCCTGGCCGGTTTGGCTCAGCGGTTAGAGCATCGGCCTGCGGTCCAGAGAGACCCGGGTTCGGTTCCCGCTAAGGGCATGTACCTTGGTTGCAGTTTGTCCCCGGCCCTGGTTGGGTCGTGCGGGTGGCAGCCACTCAATGTGTCCCTTTCACATCGATGTTTCTCTCTCTCTCTCTCCCTTCCTCTCTCCCCCTCCCACTCTACCTGAACAAAAAATATAAAAATGTCCTCGGGTGAGGATAAAAAAAAAAAAAAGAAATGAGTCACCAGAGGCCAAAAGAAGTCACCCTGCTCGGGGGTGGGGGGACTCTTCTGAGCCTGGCATCCTCGTTTCTGCAGAGGTGCCCATGGCCCCCTCCCAAATGCAAAGGCAATGCCGGGTGCCCGAGCTCCTCTTCAGCAGTGCAGGGAGCCAGAGGACCAACCGTTTTCCCCAGAAAGTTTCTCATTCATGTGATGAGACACCGGCCACTCAGGGGCTGTGAACACCGTGACTGGCTTGACCACCTCCCTGGGGCCACGCAGCGGGAAGTAGCTGGCAAGGGCCCAGAAGCCCGGTTCCTCCTTGGCCCTGCCCCGGGCTCCGCGGAGAAGCCGGGGCGCCTGGCGGGCAGCCCCTCAGTCCGGGAGGAAGGCTGGACGGAGCGCTGCCCTGGGCAGATGCTGGGGGTGTGCGAGGGACGCGGAAAACACCCCCAGAAGCCCTGAGCCGCAGGCTTCCGGTTCGTCCCCGCCAAGCCGCCTCGCTGGCCTTTCTGGTCCAGACGGCCCGAGCCACCGGGAAACCGCGGGTTTCATGACCCACCTCTTCCTTGGACCGAGCTGGAGCTCTAGGCAAGGACGCGTCACCACTGAACACGCACCTCGGAGGGAAGACTGGAAGGTTCAGCCCCGTCTGGCCCAGGGCGTGGGGCTGCCAGGCGTGCCAGCCTCCCGGGCATGATCATGACTCCGTGCCCAGCCGTGGGGGCCACCGTTCTCACGGGCCCAGCGGGCAGGCAGGGACCCGGGTCCCATCGGCGTGCCATCCCCGTGGTGCCCGCAGCGTACCTGTCCCAGGAGAGCCGCGATGAGGGAGCTCTTCCCGCTTCCGACGTTGCCGCAGATCCCCAAGACCTTCCCCTACCAGACAGAAAACACACGGTCGTTCTCCCTGTTCCTGCAGGGTCTCGGGACAAGGTGCCGCCTCCGGACTGCGCAGGTGGGGACCAGGCGCTGGAGGCTCTAGGAGGCGGTGGGTGCGACCTCACACCCCACCCGGACACGAGCCTGGGAGGGCGCCGGAAGCCAAGCCTTGCAAAGCGCTTCCCCTGGGGCGGCGCGGCCGAGCCCCTGGAGGGCTGCAAGGCCCCCAGGACGGACACCTGGGTGAGCAGCCTCTCCGTCCTTGGACACACAGCCCCGTCTCGGGGTTGTCCTGCCTGCACCCGGGCTCCAGGAAAGCAAATCTAACAAAGCTAGCGCTAGTCGGGGGTGGGCAGTTAATGAGAGAGATGAGTGAGTAAAATCCACAGCATGCGAGAGTCGTGCGTGGGAACAGACCACAGGGGCAGCTCGGGAGGCTCCCCAAAGGCACGGGTCTCACCTGGAGTCCTCCCAGACATGGGCCCTGAGACAGGGGTCGGTCAGGAGGTGCGGGCGACACCAGCTGGGAAGAGGGGGTGCGAGGCAGGGGAGGGCAGGGGGCCATCGAGGTGTCTCGCGGGGCTGGGTCCTGCTGGGAAACTCCCGGGAACTCTGGGAGACTGAGGTGGCGTACCCCTAGCGGCGGAGGGAGTGGGGACACATCCCCAACAGGCAGCTGCCGTCACCCCTGCCCGTACTCCAGGCCATACTTAGGAACACATCCGGAAGCATTTACACAGCTGGGCAGCCCGGGCCTCGGCCGCCCAAGTGGACTGTGACTCTCCATTGCAAGGGCCCCAAACTCCTCTGGGTTTTATGATCGGGGCTATACAGCCCCCCGTCTTCCCTCGGCTTGGAGAGGTGCCTCCTTGATGGGCACAGAGTTTTAAAGTGGGAAGGAGACAGCCTGGTTAGGGACCCCCACCCCCGCCTGCAGCCCACAACAAGCCCACCAGGCTCGGGAGGCCCCGCGGCAGGAGGGAGCCCCCCAGAGCCGCACCCACCTTTCTCACCACAAAGCTTATATTGTGCAGAGCAGTCCTGCCGCCGCTCCCGTGGTCCTGCTCGGGGCCCGGGGCGCCCTCGGCGGGCGCGCTCAGACGGTACGCCGCCCCCCTGCGCGGCAGGAGAAGGCCCTTCCGCCGGCTCTCCCCGTCCTTCGGGCTGCCCGTCCTGCCGGCGCCCTGCTGCCATGCCAAGGTGGCACTTGCTAGGAGCAAGACAGTGTCTGGGCCTTCCGGCTGGGTGATGTAAGGCGAGGGGCTTCGAGCGGCGAGGATTCTCTAAGGTTAAGGAGACAGAAGGAATCGGGTAGACATCATCCACGTGCAAGAGTCACCCCCAGTATATCTCCCACGGACCTCCGGTCACAATCTCGGCGATTTTACCTCGGATGCCCAGGGACGATATCCTGAGGACCCCCCCCCCCCGTGGGAGAACCTGCAGCACAGGTGGCTCCCTGGCTCACGCCATGTGGGACGACGGCTCGTCAACCTCCAGGCCTTCGGGGGTGGGGGTCACCCTCAGGGAGGGTGCGATCCCAGCTGCGCTTCACCCCCATGCTGTGGCCGTGGCCGTGGCCGTGGCCATGGCCGTCACTGGGGGGTGGGCTTCATTGCTCGGCTCTACGCTATGTAACCGTGGTCCCACGCCCCGTCTGCCGTGTCCTCTCCCTGGTCCCCTCTCAGCTCAGTTCAACAAAACATCGGCCAAGCGCCCAGGTTCCGGGGCAAACAGCACACACGCAAATACGAAAAGACATGGCTCCTGTCCTTGAAGCGATGACAGTCCCGGGGGGAGAGGGCACGAGGCACAGGTCAGTGAGATGTGACCGGGACAAAGCCGAGGAGGGGCACCCGGCCCCCCACCCCGGATGCCGGGGCTGCGTCAGTCCAGGCAGAGCCGAGGGAGGGCGGAGGGGAGGAGAGTTTCCCCCCGCAAGGCTCAGCGCGAGCAGAAGCACCGTCGGTTGGGGGACAGGTGGCGGGGGAGACAAGCAATTCAGGGTTACTGAGGCCCAGAGCTCACGGGAGAAAGGGGAGAGGGAATGAGTGGAGACGTCACTGAGGACCCACTGACCGGTGGGGGAGGCTCAGCCTGTCCTGGGGGGACAAGGATTCAGGGGTTTCCAGCCGGTGAGTGTCAGTGGTCAGACCGACAGGCTAACAGCGCTCCGGGTGCTGAGTGCAAAGTGAGCGCGAGGAGGACACCTTCGGACAGGCCCATGCTGCCTCCATCACTGCGACAGTCACCGAGACGATGAGGCATCGGATGGCGGCAATGGCCACCGGGTCGCAGAGGACGTTGAGGAGTAAGAACCCGCACGTCCCTCTCGGCTGAGATACCCGACATAGTAGGACACACAACTAACGTGGCAGGTCGATTCGTGACTGGTTCAAAAAGTGGTCATTCAGCAGCGCGCCTTCTAAGGGCGTTACGCACGGTGCCTCCCAACACTGAGGGGCAGTGATCGGGAGACGGGTCAGCAGGGCTCCCGGAGGGGTCGAAGTGGACGGCGAGGAAGGGCTTACGGATGCCCAGGACGCCTAAGGTGCCGTCCAGACGTCTGGCCGCGGTGAGCGAGGTCTCTCCGTCAGTTCGCAGGTGTGTGAGCGTGCCACTCTCGATGGGGACACCCTGCTCCTGTCCCTGCCCTGCCCTCAACTCGGAACCCCCTTATCCGACCTTCGTGTGTGGCAGGGACTGGGGCACCTGGTCCTACCCTAGGCTGGGGGCCCTAGAGGGTCAAGGCTGTCCTTCCTGTGTTGGCATTTCCCACTGTGCCTTGTGTGCAGGACGCACGCAGTTTGTCTTTGACGCACAAATAAACGAGTGGTTAGTGGCTAAATAGTGCATAACTGGGGAGCCCCCCTTGCTCCCATCACCACCCGTTGCAGCACAAACCGCACAGGCCGGGGGGGGGCAGCTCAGTGCAAGCCCCACCTTCACCTGGAGCAACTGGACCTCTAGGACTTGGCTACAGAGCAGAGGGTCAGGACACGGCTCTGTACAGACGCCATGTCGTTTGTCCTAGAGGGCAGACCACGGGAAAACCACATTTCTGCATCCGCTCTGCCTTGGGGGCCTTCTCCTGTCCATCAGCCAGCGACCCAGCCCTCCGGCGGGTTGACTCAGCGTCCCCGGGACCGGGAGTCTCCCCACCCGAACCTGAGACCTCTCGCCCCCACTCACCCAGTGTGCGCCATACCTTCATCCTCCTCAGGGAGACGCTGGCCTCGGCCGCCGCCTTGACGGAGAAGGGCAGGATGGCGATGGAGAACTTCATGATGTTGAACATGGCGATCACGCTGAAGGCCTGGGGGCCAGAGAGACCGGGTCAGGGCGGGCGTCGCCGCGGCTCTGGACCCTCGCGTCCCCGGGGACAACCTCTCTGAGGTGGGAGGCGGGCGCCCCTGGGGTCCTCAGAGGGACGGTTTTCTTTTTCATTTCGTGGCTCAGAGATCATGGTCGGCAAATCAGGGACAATAACAGCTTCCTATGCTTTGCTTTGGGACTTTCACCAACGTGGTGGGACATGGGTCCCCTTGTCTCCGTCCGTCCAGAGAGGACAGGCCCGAAGAAGTAGACCGACCACTCAAAACCCCACGCGGATTTCCCCAAATCCTTCCCTTCTCTTAGCTGCTGCAGAAGCATCTTTCCCTCTGGAGCCTGGGCCCCCGGCGTTCCGCAGAGCCCAGGGGTGACGGCCCAGGCTCCTTGGAAGGACCTGCTTGGCCCGCGCTGGTTCAGAGAATGCCCTCTGCACGGCGCGCCCCTCCCCAGACACCAGGACAGATTTGAGAGCCTTTGTTCAAGTGCCATTCCCCCCAGGTCACCTCCCCTTTTCCCCGGGCCTTCCCCATGGAGCCTGGCCCGGGGGTGTTAACAGCATGTGGTCCCCATGAAGACAAGTCTTCACACTTGGTTGGTGCCCCAGGGAGCACGGCCTCATCCCATTTCATCTTCTCTTCTGTCCGACTTGTGATTGGCAGCATTTCCTGCACCATCCGTTCAAGAAGCAGACAGCACAGCTACCACGGACAAGTGCGGAATGACCCTGCCTGCTGCACGGGGAACCCCGTGGACAGGGCCCGGGGTCGGCTGCTCCCAGTTAGACCAGGAAGCGAATGGTGGAGGATGCTCCCTCCATCACATCTGGTCGTCAATGCATCCCCCAAAGAGAGCTCAGCACCCCCGGGTCCCGAGGCACGGCTCGGCTCAGGAAACACGGCCCAGGGTGTCTGAGCACCTGCGCCCCCTGGTGGGACCGAGCGCCTCGGGCTGACCTCCTTCGCCGGGGCCCGCAGAGATGCTGCTGCAAGGGATTCTGGGCCTGCAGGAACACGCCTGGTGTCCAGGCCTCCGCGCTGGGTCTAGCTTTCTTCTGAGTCACCGTTTCAGAACATTTCAGCTGTGTGTATTCAGTTCGGTTTCGAGTTCATTTGCTTGGTGTGCTGCTGGGGGCATTGTTTGCTTGGTTTGGGGATCGGAAAGCCGTCGCCGCTAGGGAGGTGCATTCTGTTCACGCCATTCGGGCTCATGGGGGGCTCCAGCCCCTCGGCCGGGAGCAAAGCGGATGAAGGAGCCCGAGCAGATAAACCGCCTCCCACAGAAACACGGCAGTAGCTGGGGGCGTCCTGAGCGTGGCCCTGGAGGGCAGGCTGCCTCCCGAACCCCGCCCTTCCCTCGCGGTCCCGGGTTCGGTGCGGTTCCTCCCCGTGAGCACCCCTACGCTTGCTGTTCATTCTCTTTCTCTCCTTTTCATTTTTCCTGTTTTTCTTCCAACCACTTGCCCTTCAGACAGCGGGTCCACTCCTGCAGCTGTTGTTCCTTTATTTCTGCTGGCTCTTGTCCCTCCGGCTCAGGTTGCTCTCCCTCTGGGTCACAGCCCCTTTCCACACCTGAGGGCCTTGCCATCACCCCCAGTTCCCTCCCCCTCCGCCTGGCCTGGGGGCACCAGGCCGAGAGGAGCACACCCGTTGGCCTTAACTGCAGACCCCGCGGTTCCGGTCCTTCCATGAGCGGGCTCCTCGGTCCGCACACCCACAGGGATGCTCACCGCCCCGTGTACAGATGACGAAATCGAGGCAAGATGAGTCCACGATTTGCTGTAAGTCTGGCCCTGAGGCAACCGCCTGTCCCAGGACCTACAGCCCCGCCCACCCAGAGCACCCCGCAGCCTCCCGTCCGTGTCGTGTGTGGGAATCAGCGTGAATGACACCCTCTCCCTTCTGCTTCGGCAACGCAGTCAAGCCCTAGACACAAACTGTGTGCGTGGCTGCCAGGCCTGGGGAGGCCAGAGCAGAGGTCAGGGACAGGGTCCACGGGCGGAGCCGCTGACGGGAGGGGTCAGGATGTCCCGGGCCCAAAGCCAGCACAGGCCCTCACGGGGACAGAGCCCAACCTGACGTCCGCCAGTCGCCTGGGTGGGCAGCGAGGATTCTCTCACTGAAAGACAGACAAACCAGACCCACCACAGCGAGATACCACTTCGCACCTACCGGGGCAGCTACCATGAAAACAGCAGAACAAGTTGCCTAAGTGTCCCTGAGGCTGCGGAGGCGGCGGACCCCTCGCCGACTCTGCTGGGGGGTCTGAAATAGTGCCCCCACTGCAGGGACTGGCAGTTGCTGGTGCGGTTTTAATTTTGTTTCCCACATGCAAGATCGTGTTCCCAAGTGAACTGCGACCCCAGCCCCGCCAGAGACAGCAGGAATCACTGTGAGGCTCCCCGCGCCAGCCACGCGCTCGAGTTTAAGCATCTGTGTGCGGTTCTGGCGTAGCCTGACCCACCGGGATGGGGCAGTCTGATGTCAGTCCAGGCACACGTGGGCAGGAGCTGCCCACCGGGCACCCGCCAGAGTTGGGGTGCCCAGAGGTCAGCCTGGAGGTTCTTACCACCGGGGCTGTGAGCTTGCGTCTCAGCAGGATGTGGCAAGTGAACGTGGACACAATGGCGATGGTGGACGCGATGGGGGCCAGGGCCGAGTTTCCGCTCTGAACAAAGCCTGCTTTCTCCAGCAACTTCCTTTCCCTCTTCCTTATATCTGCAACACAGAAAGCAGGCACCGCCGTCTCACTTTGCATGTCCGGGACCTGCCTGTCCTCCTCGCAAATGCCTGAAGGGTCCCTGCCCTGCAGTGTAGACGGGAGGAAGCTAGAAAGCTGGGCACGAAGCCAGGGCATGGGGAACTCGGCCGCCTGTCCGCACGGCAGGGCCCCAAGGTCACTCCCACTCCCGATTCCCTGGGTGTCAGGGGTCGTCCGCTCAGATCCTGCAGGGGCCAGGCAGGCATAGTGGAGGGGGTGGGCAGAGAGAAGGCCGGGGCGAGTGTGGAGGGCCCGGAGGGGGACCGTGCGTCTCTGGAGGGCCAGCCAGCTCCCGAGGCAGGCAGCCAGGGCTCCCGGAGCACCCGCTGTTCCAAGTCTGAGACGTGGACTTTGGTGAGACTCTGCCCTACTTCTGAGTGTTGGGAATTCATGAAGAGGGTTTTGAGGTACTGCAGGGGCCAAGCAACCCAGGGGCTGGTCTGAAGACGGCGGGATCGGGGCACCTGCCCCCCCCCCCCCCGTCACAGGCCCAGAGGAGGCCTGGACGACACCACTCTCAAATCCAGGCCTTTCTTCCCTGGCGTCGAGTCCTGAGCTCCCCGTCCTCTGCAAAAACCCTTCATGTGGGTGACACAGCGCCTGGCCATTCGCTCCGAGCGCCCACTCCTGGCTGGCGCCTAGCTGGTGGCTGTGCGGGACCCGGTGGTTAGACCACCCTCACCGTGGGGACAGGGGAGGGGACATTCTTATGTCGTTTGACAGGGGAGGAAAGTCTTCGTGGTTTAAGTCACTTGCCTTTTCTTTCTTTTTTTTTTTTTTTTTTCGGTACATGCCCCTAACAGGAACCGAACCTGGGACTTTCTGGTCCGCAGTCTGCCGCTCAACCGCTGAGCCAAACCGGCCAGGGCAGTAACTTGCCTTTTAAGTGGCCGAGGCAGAACTAGAACCCAGCTCCACTGGGACCCCGACCTCTGCGGTCCACGTGCCTTCCCCTGGAGGGCACCGGCCAGCACCCTTTCCCCAGGCGCGCGTCACACCTCCACGGCCCCCAGCTCTCCGGCCGAGCCTTGCTGTCCTCAAGGCCGCGCCCAGCGGCCACCCCTCCCGGGGCTTCACCTGGCCTCCAGCCCCGTGTGCTCCCCCGAAGCATCTCTTGGTTCCCTGATGGCATTTTACACATTTTACCCCACAGAGGGTTCACGTGACGACGCCCCCCTCCCGCCCATCAACGTGCTCTCCTCTGATGCCCACGATGTGCCAGGTGCCTGCTGGGTGCTGGGTGCAGAGGAAACAGGTCTCTCTCAGCTTCTCCCCGACAGGCGAGGGCAGGAAGCAGCTAAGTCAGGCGGCTACAGTGTGTGGGGTGAAGTGATTCACAGGGAGCGAGGGGCCTGGACCCCGTTAGCACCGCGGTCAAGAGGCCTCCGAGAGACTGACCCAGAGCGGAGACCCAGAGTCCAGGCAGAGCTGTCGTGGACACGTGACCAGACGGTCCAGGCAGAGGGGCGGCCGCTGCAAGGGTCCCCGGGGTGAGTGAGTGCGGCTGTTGGTCCAAAACCAGGCGGAAGGCTCCTGCGCAGGCGGAGGCATCTCGGGGGGCTGGGATGTGATGAACTGAGGCTGGACAGGTCAGCAGGAGCCAGGGCGGGATGGACCTTACAGGTCACGCAAAGGAATTGGGATTTCCTTCCAAAGTCCTAACTTCGAATCATCTACGTGTGATGAGAAGCCCCTAAAGATGTCCCGGCAGGGCAGGGAGGGACCGACTGACACTGTTAAAAGCCCACTCGGGCTGCTCAGTGGCTCGTGGAGGTTAGGGGGAAGGGGACCAGCGGGGCTGCGTCTGGAAGTCCCTGCCTGGTCCCAGAGGATGCTGGCTCAGCCTAGGGCGAGGGCGGAATGAACAGAAGGCACAGACTCCAGACACCTGCTGGAGGCGACGCCAACCACTCCGCTGTGTTTGAGCGAAGCTGCCCTTCCTGCATCCGAAAAGCGGGGCATCGCCCACTGGCCACTGTGCCCCTCGCGTGGCCTGGCACACGCAGTCACAACTTGGCAAGTGTCTATCGACTCAGTCTGACCCGTGTCAAATCGAATTGAAATCAAAGCCAATGGAACCGAACATATTCCAAGCAAACCAACTGTATGGAGTGTGTTCCGTGGGTGAGGACACATTTCTGGGTCCTCAGAGGGGGTCCCACGGGGCGCCGGCGTCCAGCGTGGGGCCCTGCCCTCCGCCAGCAGGAAGGTGGTGTTCCCAAAGCCACGCCCCAAGACGCAGACACGCGGCTTCAGGCCCAATTACATGCCGGCCCCGAAGTGTAATTGCGGATCGGGGGAGTCAATTGTAACAGCGGTTCACATCATTAACCGGCCAAGCACCTGAGTCTCTGTCAGCAATTATGTAGATGTTCCCGCAATTAGACTTGCATTTACATTCGATAGAAACGGTTTGAGCCTCATCTGTAGAAGAGGAGCTACGTGTGTAGTCTCACATCTGCACAGGGAATGTCACGCCGGTGGGTCGCCCCGTGACGAGCCGGCTTCTGCAGGAATGGAAGGGGTGTGTGTGTGTGTGTGTGTGTGTGTGTGTGTGGACATCGTCTAAGTCAAGGGCATAGCTTGACACAGCCCTTCTGCCCACCCTGCTTGCGTGAGTTATTTTTGCAAAAGGTACCGACTGGTCAGCACCACCATCCACATGCCGCAGTATGTAAACCATATGGTGCTCACCTGCTGCATCCCAGGCTCCCGAGAACAGAGGCCTGTCTCTGTTATACAATCTCCCCGGTCCTGGGAAGAGCCCACAGGGCGGCACAGGGGTCCCCTCGGCCCCTCTGGCCGCCTCACGCCAGGACCCCGAAGAGCCCTGCGGAGAGCCCGTCCTGGGGGTGAGTGCCCCTCCGAGCTGCTGTGCGTCCTACCTCGGATGGACTTGGTGAAAGACTTCTCCCAGGCGTACATCTTGACCAGCTTGATGCAGGCCACAAGCTCGTTCATTGTCTGGATCCGCTTGTCCGTCACCGACACGGCTGACCTTCGGAAAGCCGAATTGAGCTTTGCCATAAACATCTGAAATCAAGGCACAGGCACTGTGTGCGGGGAGAAGCGTGCCGTCGGCCCGAGCATCGGGCGGGAGTGGGGGGCCAGGGGAGGTCCCACGGGAAGCTGGCCGGGGGTTCCTGGCGGAGCCAGTGTGGTCTGGGGACGCAGGTTCGGGGCAGACGACACAAACACATGGGCCACCAGGTGCAAAGACGGTGCTGGGGACTTTGACCGGCGGGAGCACACGCCTTGTCCCCCTCCCCCGGGCATTCAACGTCAAGTTGTTAAAGAAACGACACTGTGCCCAGAAGAGACAGCCCAGCGGTGAGCCCCGCACACGAAGCCTCCCCTCCAGCTCACGCGTGCACAACGCAGGCGTGAAGCCACCGCGACCGGGAAGGCAGGGTTACCTGGATGGGGATGAACACGAGGTACACGGACACCCCGATGAGAGCCGTGGGCCCCAGAATGAAAAAGGCGTACACCGCGCAAACAACCATGAGGATGGGGATGGTGGCTGGCAAGGGACAAAACAAGGCAGCTTCAAACAAGGAATAGCTATCACTTGACAGAACATTGAGCACCTGGAAAGAAAGCACATGGGTTCAGGTGGGGGAGGGTGGGCCGGACACGTCCCGGAGGCTGAGGGTCTGAGGAGAGCAGACACTGCCTGACGGGGGGTGCCAGGGGACGGCGTGATGAGTTGTGTGGGTCTCAGTCTGGTCCGACTTGGAAGAGAGCCCGTGAGGAAGGACCAGGAGGACAGGCCCCTCCTGGGGGCACCCGGGAGACACCCTCCTCATTGAGGGAGCAGGGAGACGGCTACAGGACCGCACTCCCCAGCCTCCTTGGTGACCGGTGCAGCCCAGGACTACGCGAGGGGCAACGCCACCAAAGCCAAAGTGTGGACGGGACTCGGGGGATGGATGCTTAAAGGGAGCCAACTCAACTTGCAGGACACCCCTTTGGTCCTCCTCTCCTTCCTCCCCCTGCTGTCTGAGACATGGGGGTGGCAGGGTCTCCAGTGTCCGCCTTGCACTGTTCTGGGAACCGTGTGCTAGGAGGGTGAGGAAGACTCATAGAAGGGTCTGGAAGGCCCCTGCCGGCCCTGGGTTGAGCTCTTCTAGGCCCCTCGCAGGCGGTGAAAGAGATTCCTCGTGTTGCATCCCTCATTGCGTAGGCTTTTCTGTGACATGCGGCGGAATCTAATCTTAGTGGACACTGGCTGCCTCGACCGTACCTCGTACCACCCGGGCTCCCTGGACTGGGGCACTTTTCCTGGGTACATGGTGGGATGTCATTGCTAAGAAAATGGCAACGCTGAAATCCACAGGCACGGCCTTCATCATGTCTCTGGCACCCCAAATACTACCCACGGAGCCTCTGGATACGTGCGTCAGTTAGCTTTATCACATGACTGTAGTCGGCTCTGTACCACCTCCGGGTCCTCACCGACAGTCAAAGGTAGGGGGCGAGGTCACCCCAGAGCCCACTGGGACAGTGAAGACTCCCCAAGTTCTCCAGCTTGCAGGGAGGCACCCCTCCCTGAGTGCCTCCACCGCCCCACTTAGCAGGGACATGGGACCGGATGGGCAGGACACTGACAAGCTAACGGGAGGCCGGCGCTCCATCCGGGAAGCGTGTATCACACAGAGCAAACTGGAGGTGTCATTTGCTAGACCGGCCCCCCCCAGACCAGCTTACCTCGCCCACAGAGATGTGTGTCAGCGTCTTGAAGGACACAAGGTTTTCGAACACCAGCGTGGAGATGGCCACCTTCAGCCGGATCGCCGTGCGGTAATTGATGGCCCAGGCAAGGGCCCAAAAGAGGACTTTGGTGAACTCGGTGGCAAAAAGGGCTACGCACAGGCCAGTGCCCACCCAGACATTCTTGGGGACGCTCTGGGTCTGCTGGAGGATTTGGTGAATGAGGACCGTCTGCAAAACAGCATGGCAGGGGGCCGCTGGGGCACGGGGCCGGGCCGGGCAGCCCCCGACGGTGCCAGCGAGCTGATTTTACGAGGCAAACATTCTAATTAATTCCAGGGGCTGCTGCTGTGCGTGGCGAGGCTTAGCTGTATGAAAACTCACCCCCGGGGAGCTCAAAGATAATGACATCGTACAAACCCACCAGCTCGCAGAGAAAGTAACTAATGACAGTCAGCCGGGGGCCGGGGACAAGGCGCGAGGGTGCCCGCTCACCGGCCCCATGGCTGCCATGACGATGCAGAGGATGTTGGCCACAGTGTCCATCAGAACCCGGGTCCTCTGGAACCGCCAGACCACTCGGCCCAGAGAGGCCTTCTCAGGGCCCACCCGTTCCACCTCCTGGTCCCAGAGGCTCCGCAACCTGGGGGAGGAAGGGGACGGACAAGGACCTGTGTTTCCACGTGCTGTCTGAGCCTCTCCAACCGACAAACCTCTATTTATTTATGGATTATTATTATTTTTTGTTAATCCTCACCTGAGGACATTTTTCCATTGGTTGCTTTAAGTAGAGTGGAAGGGAGAGAAAGAGAGAGAGAGAGAGAGGTGAGAGAGACGCATCGACTGGTTGCCTCCCCCACGACCCCAACAGGGGCCAGGGATCGAACCTGCAACCCAGGTATGTGCCCTTGACCAAGAATCGACCTTGCAACCCTTCAGTCCGAGGGCTGCTGCTCTGACTGCTGAGCCACACCGGCCAGGGCTGGACAAACCTTTGAAAGGTGCATCGCGGGGCCCTCACCCGGGCAGACGTGGCTTTGGACGAGGGGCACTGACTCTGTCTCCCGTCACAGGGTGGAGGGGACTTGTGAGAGGCCAGAGAAGACTGGACAATGGCACAAGCTGGTGCCTGGCATTGGGCAACCTTCCAGGCTCCCATCTCCACCTCCACTGCCCTCTCTGGCGCCGTACCAGCTCTGAGGAAAGACAATGCAACCGAGAAATCGAGAGAAACACCTTCTCGGGGTGGGGAGGAGGTCAAGGATGAGAAACCAGGGCAGTGCGACAGGAGGCGGGGGGGGGCTGGTGAGGCACCGGGAGGGCCCGAGCTCGCAGGGAGGGGCTTGGATTTCACTCCTGACGCAAGGCACGCAGAGGACACAGTGGGGGCTTTCACGGAAGTGACACGATGACACTACATATCAAAAAAATATGGCCCTGGCTGGTTTGGCTCAGCGGTTAGAGCGTCGGTCTGCGGTCCTGAGAGACCCGGGTTCGGTTCCCGCTAAGGGCACGTACCTCGGTTGCAGTTTGTCCCCGGCCCTGGTCGGTTGTGCGGGTGGCAGCCACTCGATGTGTCCCTTTCACATCGATGTTTCTCTCTCTCTCTCTGTTTCTCTCTCTCCCTCCCACTCTACCTGAACAAAAAAAATGGAAAAATGTCCTCGGGTGAGGATAAAAAAAAAAAATGTCGTTTTCTCCGACGACGGGGAAGCAACGCAAGAGCAGGGAAACCACAGTCAGAAACGCGGCGCCCAGTGAAACGGAGCTGGACACCGAATGGAAGGAGAAGGCACTGAGGAAGGATGGACGGCGAGACAATGGGACTTCCTGATGAATTAGAAGCGAGAGCTAAGGGAAGGGAACCAAGCAGCCCAGGTCTCCGGCTTGGCCAAGTGTCTGAACGAGGTTTGCAGAGATGGGAAAGGAGGAAGGCGGGAGATTTTATCTGCAGCTTCACACAGAAGATGGTTTAGATAGAAGATCCCCATGCAGCTGCCCAGTTGTTTTATTATTATTATTAATTTATTTTTGTAACAAGATGTTTCTCCTTTTTTCCCCACTGACACCCTCCTCCCCATCCCCCCCAACCTTGTCCCCAGCTTTGTTGTCCATGTCTATCGGTTATGCGTACATGCACATAAGTTCTGTGGTTTATCTCTTCCTTCCCTCCCTCCCCCTCTTCTGAGGGTTGTCAGTCTGTACCCTACTGCCATGTCTCTGGGATTACCCTGTTCCTAGACTGTTAAGTTTATTATATTCCACAAATAAGTGAGATCATGTGATATTTGTCTTTCTCTGCTTGGCTTGTTTCACTTAGGATAATACTCTCCAGGTCCCTCCATGTCGTCTCAAAGGATAAGAGATCTTTCTTTCTTACAGCAGCATAGTACTCCATTGTGTATATGTACCACCGCTTTTTTATCCATTCGTCTAGTGATGGACACTTGGGCTGTTTCCAGATCTTAGCTATTGTAAATAGTGCTGCTATGAACATGGGGGTACATATATTCTTTCTGATTGGTGTTTTAGGCTTCTTAGGGTATATTCCCAGAAATGGGATCACTGGGTCAAATGGCAGATCAATTTTTAATTTTTTGAGGTAACACCATATTGTTTTCCATAGTGGCTGCACCAGTCTGCATTCCCACCAGCAGTGCACTAGAGTCCCCTTTTCTCCACACCCTCGCCAACACTTGTTGTTCGATGATTTGTTGATGGCAGCCATTCTGACAGGTGTGAGGTGATACCTCATAGTTGTTTGAATTTGCATCTCTCTGATGATTGGTGATGTGGAGCATTTCTTCATATGTCTCTTGGCCATTTGTATGTCCTGTTTAGAAAGGTGTCTCTTTAGTTCCTCTGCCCATTTTTTAATTGGGTTCTTTGTCTTCCTTTTGTTGAGTTGTATGAGCACTCTATATATTTTGGAAATTAACCCTTTATCTGATGTATCATTGGCAACTATGCTCTCCCATACAGTAGGTTCCCTTTCTATTTTGATGATTGTTTCTTTTGCTGTGCAGAAGCTTTTTAGTTTGATGTAGTCCCATGTGTTCATTTTTTCCTTTGTTTCTGTTGCTTTAGGTGATATATCAGTGAAAATTCTGCTGTGTATGATGTCTGAAATTTTGTTGCCTACATTTTTTCTAGGATTTTTATGGATTCATGAGTCACATTTAAGTCTTTTATCCATTTTGAGTTTATTCTTATGTATGGTGTAAGTTGGTGGTCTAGTTTCATTTTTTGCATGTAGCTGTCCAATTTTCCCAACACCACTTATTAAAGAGGCTGTCTTTACTCCACTGTATGCTCTTGCCTCCTTTGTCAAATATTAATTGAGCATAATGTCTTGGGTCAATTTCCGGATTCTGTGTTTTGTTCCACTGGTCTATATGCCTGTTCTTATGCCAGTACCAGGCTGTTTTGATTACAGTAGCTTTGTAGTATAACATGACATCTGGTATTGTGATCCCACCTACTTTGTTGGGTCTCTTTTGGTTTCATATAAACTTTTGAAGTATTTGTTCTAGTTCTGTGAAATATGTTGTTGACATTTTGATGGGGATTGCATTGAATCTATAAATTACTTTGGGTAATATGGACATTTTAATGATGTTAATTCTTCCAATCCAAGGTACATGCTTCTACTTTTTTATATCTTCCTCTATTTCTTTTTTCAATGACCTGTAGTTTTCTGCAAATAGGTCCTTTACTTCTTTCGTTAAGTTTATTCCTAGGTATCTTAATTTCTTTGCTGTGATGGTAAATGGGATTTTTTTTTAGTTTCTCTTTCTGTGAGTTCATCATTGGTGTATAAGAATGCCGTCGATTTCTTGACGTTAATTTTGTATCTTGCTTTTGCCAAATTCATTTATTAAGTCTAATATATTTTTGACGGAGTCTTTAGGGTTTTCTATGTATAATATCATGTCATTTGCAAATAATGACAGTTTCACTTCCTCCTTTCCAATTTGGATCCCTTTTATTTATTTTTTCATGTCTGATTGCTGTGGCCAAGACTTCCAGTACTATGTTAAATAAGAGTGGTGAAAGTGGGCATTCCTGTCTTGTTCCTGTTCTTAAGGGAAATGCTTTTAGTTTTTGCCCATTGAGTATGATGTTGTCTGTAGGATTTTTATATACAGCCTTTATTATGTCGAGATATGATCCCTCTATTCCCAGATTGCTGAGCGTTTTTATCAGAAATGGGTGCTGGATTTTGTCAAATGCTTTTTCAGTGTCTATTGATATGATCATGTGGTTTTTATCTTTCATTTTGTTTATGTGGTGTATCACATTTATTGATTTGCAAATATTGTACCAGCCTTGCATCCCTGGAATGAATCCCACTTGGTCATGTATAATTTTTTTGATGTATTGCTGGATCCGATTTGTTAGTATTTTGTTCAGAATTTTGGCATCTGTGTTCATCAGGGATATTGGTCTGTAGTTTTCTTTCTTTGTAGTGTTTTTTTCTGGTTTTGAAATTAGAATTATGCTGCAGTGGCCCAGTTGGATGCTGGGCAGACGAGTTCAGAGCCTGGAGGAGAAGTGTGGACTGGAGACAGAATGTCACCGAGGCTGTCAGTTTGTGTTGGTGTTTAAGCCTTCAGAGTGGAAAGACCCACGAGGAACAGAACACAGCCTGGAAGAGAAGAATGTCTGAGACGATGCTGGGGACATGGGAGGAAGCATTAAAGACAGGAACGTACTGGCCAGAGTGGCAGAAAAACCCAGCCCAGACCCTGGTCCAGCTGCTTTCTCTCTGCAACCACTGGCGATTTTCTCCAGACGGCAGGTTTTGGAAATGACCGAGGATGGAGACTTCTCCATGGCACACGTAATGGGAGGTGTGGGTGTAGAGATGATTACAAGACCGTGATAAAAACTCCGGCCCCTTCAAGTATGCGCTCCAGGCTGCGCCTCACATGTGACCCTGTGGCCAAAGGGAAGGAGACTTCCAGAAGAAACAGATGCAGAGAGCGGGCTCTGGAAAGTGCCCTCCCCCTATCTCCAAGTTCAATGCAGCTGTTGGAAGGAATGATGCTGAGGTCCGACAGGGAGAAAAACATGCAAACCCTGGACTGAAAACAGCGAGCTGGGTGCCCCGTCCATAGTGTGCTTCACTTGGTTTCAGCAGTGACAGCAGCCAGCAGATGTGCCCCGAGCGTGGGAGGAAGGAGAGGGTGGCCACCTGCAGATGGTAGCAGATCCACAGGCATCAGTGCTCCGTGTGGGGGGTGGATGGGAATGGGGTACAGGCGCGTCAGCTTCGTTTTCCACTGCTCAACACTTTCATCATGACCACGGCTCAGGTCGTGAATGACACTAATGCTTCTGCAGGTCAAGTACTGGCCGTTTCACTGGGGTCAACCTGAACCTACTTGTAATATAAAAGTCTACCAACGATCTTTAAAGGGAACACAACATGATGTCTGGAACTGTGTGCCGCAGCCTGGGGGCGGGGGGTCCTGCCAGCGCAGAGCAGAGCGAAATTCTGGCCACTCTTGTCCTGCAGCAGAGCACAACCCAGTGGACACCCCAGCCAAGTGTCCTGAGCCTCAGGCCATCCTTCCTCTCCGCCAGCTCTCCCCAGTCCTCACCTCCCTGGAGACGGGACCGAGTTGTCAGCCCAGCCCACGTCTCAGCCACGGAGGAAGCCACCAGGACCTGTGGGTGTCAGTTTCCAAACCCTGGAAATGGGAGCCCACGAAAGGGCTCACAGTCCCTTCTTGGGGCGGCTCCTCTCCCGCGGCGCCCCAGGTGAGCCCCGGTACCTTTTGGCGTTGGTGTCGGACGAGTCATATGGGGACAGTGGGGGCAGCGTGTCTACAGTCAGCGCCTGCTTGTAACCTCTCACCATCACCGGTGTGAGCCAGGAGAACGTGGCAAAGGAGAGCAGCCCCGCGTCGTCCATGGGGTTGGATGCCAACCTGAGACAGAATAGATGCAAAGTGTCCCGGGATGACGGGCATTGCACTCGGTCCCCGGCGTAAGTCCCTAACAATGGTCACAACCACAGCTCGGAATCTGGGACTCGCACACAACAGCCCTCGGAGAAGTGGGGTGATCGGGCCAGCTTGTGAGAGCCGACTATTAAATTTTCAGAAATTTTTCAGTTGCTACACATAGACGATATTAAAAATTAAATGACAAATTTAAATAAATTATCTCAATGACAAAGGCAGTGAGTACTTGAAAGTCATCACTTCCTAATTATTATACTAGATGTTATGAGCATCTATGCTCTTTGGATTATGTAAGTCTGTGTGTCTGTCTGGAGCCGATACCACATAAAACAGGGGGCTACTGAGCATCTCCTTAAATATTAGTTATTGTCTCCCTCTTACCCAAGAATAGGAGAGGCCAAGAAGTGAGGGGTCCATCAATGAGTAATTGAGGATGGATGGACGGACGGATGGATGGACGGACGGATGGATGGATAAATGGATGGATGGATGGATGGATGGATGGATGGATGGATGGATGGATGGATAGACAAATGGATGGATGGATGGATGGATGGATGGATGGATGGATGGATGGATGGATAAATGGATGGATGGATGGATGGATGGATGGATGGATGGATGGATGGATGGATAAATGGATGGATGGATGGGTGGATGGATGGACGGATGGATGGATGGATGGATGATGGATGGATGGGAGGGTGGGTAGGTGGGTATATTTATGTATGTATATGTGAATGGATGGTGAATGAATGGGAGGGTGGGTGGATGAGTGGGTGTATTGGTGGATGGATGGATTGGTGGGTGGGTGGGTGGGTGGATGGATGGATGGAAGGGAGGGTGGGTGGGTGGGTGGATGGATGGAAAGACAAAAGGACAAGGCTGTGGAGCACAGCATGGGGAACGGAGGCAGTGCCCACTCTTCTGATGGACCAGAAATCATACTTAGAAGTTCTGCCCTAGCCTTCCCACCCACCCTCCTCTGGCTCACCTGGCATAGGGTCTCACCGGAATCATGGTTTTCAAGCTGGGGTCGTATCTCTCTGCAAAGGATCTCCGCCGGCCTCGGCGGTCCAGGTCGGAGATGAGGTAAGGGCCTTCACCCACCATCCTGACGGCAGTCTGGAGCCCTGGGCTGTTGACCGAGGGACACTTTCACTCTGCAGCAGAAAGATGAGAGGGTCACTGAGAGACGAGGACACTCCGGGGTAGGATCAGGCAGCCTCTGTTCCACCCCCGCCAGCTCCCTTGCCCGACCCCTCAGACATGGATTCACCGAGCAGCCCTCCACATTTACGGGGGAGCGTGGCCAGAAGCCCCACCCCATCTCCAAACGCCACTGCCGGGCTCCTCATTAGCAAGGACGTTGGGTTCCTCTTCTTCCCCATTTTGGGTTGACTGGGAGCTGAAAAGCCTGTTGTGGGTTTTCTGCTGGGGCCAGCCCATAGTCAACGTGAGCCCCTGTCTGACCAAAGAGCCCCCAAGAAGGTGGGTTTGCTGTTTCATGTGACCCAGAGATTTGTCTCGCACCTCCTTCCCAGTTCTTTCAGATAGCTGGGCGCCTGCGTGTCCACAGTCCCTGCCCCAGCCCAAGGGTCAGAGTCCTTCCACAAGACCACCCCTCAGGACTGGGCACAGGTGGACAGACTCGCATTGCCCACACTCACGTGACCACTGCCCCTGCGGAAAACCCACAGCCCAGGCGGAGAGGACACTTTGGTGTGTCTGTCCCCTCCACAAGCCATCACCCCCAAGAACAGAGATCAGTCCCCAGAGGTTTTCCTTGTTCCCGACTTTTCCTGAGGTCTGTTCCTGCCCTGAGGGCTCCAAGACATCATCTCCCCACGTCCTACAAACAAATCCTGCTCTTTTTGCCTAAAGCATCTTGAGTTGGTTTCCGTCCCTTGCAGTCTGAGGCCTCACTATTATCCACGGCAGGAATTTTCTCTGGGAGTTTTTATGGCTGGGGACATCCGATACACCACCACCATCAAGGTTTGACTGGCTGACAAACCCATGGTGTGTCCGTGTTCGGAGATGTCCTCAGATGCAGCTAAAGAGACATGGCAGCTAAAAACAACGCATGACCCTGTGCTCGATGCCGGACCAGAAGAACAGTAAGGGTATCATGGCAACAGTGGGCGAATCTGGATATGGATGGTAGGTTAGGTGATGGCATTATATCCGAATAAAATTTCCTCATTTTCATCCCTGTACCATTTGGCAATAATTTTTATAGTTATCGCTATGTAAGGAACACCCTTCTTCTTAGGAAATAATACTGAAGTGTTCAGAGATAACGGAGCAAAATGTCTGATTCGCTCTCAAGCGTGTCGGGAAAATCGTACCCATACTTGGAGGAGGCAAACATGGCACCCCACTAATTCGCAAATCGGAGAGGAGGGTAGTTAGGATCTTTTCACAGTATTCACGTAAGTTTGAAATTATTTCAGAATAAGAAGTGAAACCTTTTTTAAAGACATAGCCCCAGCCCTGGCCGGTTTGGCTCAGCAGTGAGAGTGTCGGCCCTCGGACCGAAGGGTCGCAGGTTCGATTCTGGCCAAGGGCATGTACCTCGGTTGCAGGTTTGATCCCTGGCCTCATCAGGGTTGTGTGGGGGGCAGCCAATCAATGTGTCTCTCATCAATGGGTCTCTCTCACATTGATGTTTCTCTCTACCATCACCCCCTACTCTATTTAAAAATCAATGGAAAAATATCCTCAGGTGAGGATTAACGGAGGAGGAGGAGGAGCAGCAGCAGTAAGAGGAGGAGCAGGAGCAACAGGAGGAGCAGGAGCAGCAGGAGGAGGAGGAGCAACAGGAGGAAGAGCAGGAGGAGGAGGAGGAGCAACAGGAGGAAGAGCAGGAGGAGGAGGAGGAGCAGGAGGAGGAGCAGGAGGAGGAGCAGCAGGAGGAGGAGGAGGAGCAGGAGCAACAGGAGGAGCAGGAGCAGCAGGAGGAGGAGGAGCAACAGGAGGAAGAGCAGGAGGAGGAGGAGGAGCAACAGGAGGAAGAGCAGGAGGAGGAGGAGGAGCAGGAGGAGGAGCAGGAGGAGGAGCAGGAGGAGGAGGAGCAGGAGGAGGAGCAGCAGGAGGAGCAGCAGGAGGAGGAGGAGGAGCAGCAGGAAGAGGAGGAGCAGGAGGAGGAGGAGGAGCAGCAGCAGCAGGAGGAGCAGGAGCAGCAGGAGGAGGAGGAGGAGGAAGAGGAGGAGGAGGAGGAGGAGGAGGAGGAGCAGGAGGAGGAGCAGCAGGAGGAGCAGCAGGAGGAGGAGGAGCAGCAGCAGGAAGAGGAGGAGCAGGAGGAGGAGGAGGAGCAGCAGCAGCAGGAGGAGCAGGAGCAGCAGGAGGAGGAGGAGGAGGAAGAGGAGGAGGAGGAGGAGGAGAAGGAGGAGGAGGAAGAGAAGGAGGAGGAGGAGGAGAAGGAATAGCCCTGCAGGGATGGATCATTTTCCTGTTGTGGACCTGAGCGCCATCTCCTCCAGCTCAAAGGTGTCTGCAGGCTGCACGTGTGTTCTCTTTCCAGCCATCTGTCCCTCTGCTTGGCCCCAGCAGCCATGGGGGACTCCTCTCGGTCCAGCTAACGGTCCCCAGGCCCTCCGGTTCTGGTCCTTCGTCCGAGGGCTGGGCTCCCCGTCCTGGAGACCGCTCACCTATGACTCCCCCCTCTTCTAAGGGCAAAGGTCCTGGCAGCTGGCCAGCAGCCTGCCTCAGAGGCCTGGGCTCCAGGGTGCCAGGCGGAGCCGGCGGGGGCAGGGCGGGGCCTGGGAGCGCGGGAGGCCGGTGTGGGAGCCCATTCCCCGTTCCCCGAGCACTCCACGGGCGGCTTGGAAGCGGCTGGAACGGCACTTCGCTAAATTTGGCAGTCCCGGGGGAAATGAGACTTTTAAATCAGGAAGTCGGCTTGGCTGCCTCTCTCTCCCGGCTGTCACACCGTCCTCTGCCAGGGGTGGGGAGCTGCCTGAGTGACAAATCTGCTTCCTGGCGGTGGGGCGGGGCGGGGCTGATGGAGCTGGGACGGCACCTGACCCCGGGCACCAGGCCCCAGGGCTCTGTCCCTGGCATGTCCCTCTCCACTCAAGCATCTGGGTGGCGCCGGTGGGACCGGGCCCCATGCAGCGTCCTGCTGCTTGCTGGTGGGGTGTCTTCCACTGACCCTAACGGGCCTCACAGGGCAGGAGCAGGGGTCTGTGCTCAGGGCAGAGGACACACCGGTGGATCACGGACCGCAGGCAACGTCAAGGCTGTTTCTTTGGACTGCACAGGTTTTAAATTTTTTTGAGTCTGAATTAGGAGATAGCACAATCCGAGAAAAAGGGACCCGTGGCTTGTGTCCAAAAGTCCGGAGCCCTGGGTGCCTGGGCGGTGGCGGCCCCTCGTGGGCAGGGCGTGCGGGCTCCGTTTGCCACCGTCCCCTCTCCTTACTGCCCCAGACTCGGGGCTGTGGGTGACGTGGGCACCACTGTCTTCCTTCGAGTGGGTGCCCGTTCTCTCCTTGTCTCCCTCACGGAGGGAGGACGGAAGACAGCTCGAGGGCATTTCAAGAAGAAACCCTTCCCCTTGCTCCCGTCGATTCTGCTTCTGCTTCGCTAACCCCGAAGATGCACATGAGCGATAGCCCCCCAGAGAATGGCTTCTGAGTGTCCCTGCTGCCAGAACGGGAATCCTTCCTTCGGACCCCCGCAGCCGCCGCGTGCCGTGAGCCCCAGTCGGAGTCCTTCCTGTTCCTTTCTTAACGAGCCCTCCCCGACTGAAAGGCACCCAAGTACCGCTGCCCGAGCGAGGGTCTCCCCCCCCCCCACTCTCGCAGCCCTTTCCTCGGCACCGGGCAGCCTCCCGCTCAGAGGAGCAGCCGTGTAAGGCTGCTCAGTCCCTGCCCGTCCCCTCCTGTCCCCTCCAGCTGTCCCCAGCCACACGGGCAGCCAGGCCCTGGAGAAGCCACGTGTGGTTGGTGTTGGAGAGAGAAGGGAGGTGAGAAGAGGGTGCAGGGAAGCTGGGGGTGCAGAAGGGGGAGGTTGCTAAAGTGCTCTGGTCCCCAGAGGCCCCAGACGGTGACCGATGCGACCACCCTTTCCGTTAGAGGCTTGGACAAGGTTGAAGAATGAGGACTCGTGTTCTGGGTCTGCATGAGCCACACGGTAGTAGACCATGAGTTCAAGGTGTTTGAAAAGAAATCGTGTGATTGAACTGTGAACAGTACAATGTGTGTAGGGGGGGGGGCACAGATTGGAAAGCCGGTACTGGCATCGGTACTTCCAACAGTGGAAGTTTCCCAGCCTCCCTATGCCCTGGGAGGCTCCGGGTCCCCGCTTCCTCCCGCAGGGCAGCCTGCACTGGGGGTGACAGACAAGGGCCCCCAGACTAACAGAGACTGGCCAGGACAGAGGGGCCTTTACCTGGGCAGGAAGCACAGGATAGGGAGAGAAGGAGGGTCAGGAGGCGGGGCTCACAGTGGGCAGGCCTTGCCCTCCTGCCGGGGCCCTCCCCTCCAACTGCCCCTTCAACTGCCACTCCACCACCCCGGAGGGGAACTCTGGGGGACCAACATTCCTTCTGCCCCCAGGAGGGCCATGGCACGGTCAGCGAGGTCGAAGCTCCTGCCCAGCCTGGCACAGCCCCCCAGCCTGGCACAGCCCCCCAGCCTGGCACAGCACAGCTGTGTGAGAGGAGGGGCCCTCCCCCCAGGCCCTCTGCCCAGGAAGGCTCTCCACCCCAGGGGGGCAGGGCTGAGGCCAGCAGCCCAGGTCCCGCCTCTCGTCCAGGGACCTGCCTCCCAGCAGGCTCCCCCCTCCTGCTCCGTGTTCCTGCAAAACGCCCATGTGGAGGTCAGAGGTGGAGGGGAACCTGATCTTCAAAACAGGCTCCTTCATTCACTCCTCATTCGCTGAACCATTCAAGTCTGGGACTGGTACTAAGAGTGAACCCTTGAATACGAAAGGGTCCTGCGGGTCTGGGTTCGAGCTTGCACACTGGAGCACCGGCGTGCTCGGCGCCTCGGCCCCTGAGTGCGGGCCCTGCTCTGCTCAGAGCGCCGGAGCCCAGAGCGCTGGACGGGACCCGGGCTGCCGACCGCTGCAAGGGGGCCCATCTCTCGACTCAGATGTACCAGACCC